GGAGCTTGATAAGAGTTACTGGCTAGAGTCACAGAAAGTTCCAAATTTGAACAGTCTTGAACCACTTCCAAAAATTCCAATGGCTTTTCAATAGTTCAAATAATTCATGGGTATAAAAAATGGAGACAGGCTTTCCAGCAGAAGAGTTGGGGCTCCTCCAGGCTGCCCAGACCACTGGTACAGAGGAGAGCTGGTTTGACTTCCCCACTTTGCCACCAGTCCACTAAAGACTAGGATTTATTAAAACCTTCTCTACTTATTGATGACTGATTTGACAGGCAAATGCTGCAGACTGTGTCAATCATAGTGGATGGCAGTATAGAAGATTATCCAAACAACCTGTGGGGAGGAAAGGAAGGGAAGGTTATTTGGATGCCTCTGGAGAGGTCTCAGACACAGCAAACAAGCCTCAGGCCTTGCTTTCAACAGGTGACTGAATTCCAGCTTTGAGGTGATCTTGGAGAGATCTTAGGATCACCACTTGCCCTAAATGGTGGCATTCAACTTGTCTGCCAGCCTCTCCACATTAAAATCCCACCACAGCCCTTCCAAGGATTTAGAGGCACCAGCTAATCAGGTGGTGTGATCAGATACTTGGGGAAGGGGAGTAAGGGAAAAACAAAGACACCCAAAACACCAGTCCAGGTGTAACTAGTTCTAGATGGAATGGGACTCCACCATGGTGTCTAGGACAGAGGATGGGAGTGGCTGATGCATCCATTACTACAGAGAAATCCCAGGTGTCAGCACTGTATTTCACAGGCAGCAATCCCAGTTACTGCCGCTTGGTGCTAACACATCTGCCTTCTCTCACCACTGCCCCTGCTCTCTTCCCAGGTCTTCAGAAAGTGCACCAACACAATTCACAAATCATCTTAAAGACAGCAAGATGCATTACCAGGAAGAGTGCAAAAGATGTCATGAATCCCTCCTTCGTTAGCTCCCATGTCCCACCATATTCCTCTTCATCTATCTGCTGGAAGCTGCTGAAGTAGAGGTACAGAACACCAGCATTGATCAGGCAGAATCTGCAGGGAGATGTTAGGAACCATCATTGCAGTGGTACAGGCTCTAGGTATCCCACATACCATACAGTGAAATATCTTCCATCTACAGCAGAGAGGAAGCAAAGAGGAATTCTTTTCCTGCAGTGCTTCCCAGGTAGCTCAGTCACTTCCTCGAAAGAGCCCCTTCAGGTGAGCTTGCCAGGCTGGGATGAAGTTCACCTGACAAGGCACAACCTACTCCTAGTAGAGCTCAAGAGGCAGAAGTCAAAAGCTGGAAGTATCCTTAGAGCTGCAAAATGGCAGGTTCTCCTGACCTGCAGACTGATAGTTCTGCCTCTACAGAGGATCTGTGTGTGCTTCTTGATTCTGAGGCAGCAGAGAGGGGAAAACTGTCACCTCCATGCTCAGGGTTAGATCTCTGTGAGCATCCCAGGACCAAACAGGGAAGAAGAGATAAGAGCCACAGAGACTCAACAGTGCCCTGCAGTCCCAGCACTAGGGTCCAGCCTGAGACACCTCAATGCTCTCCGGTCTGTGCTGCAGCAGAGAGAACAAACACGACCTTCTGTTTGTCCTAAGACAGGTTTGGCTTTACACCAGCCCAGCTTGGGGCTGGGGCAGCCTGGGTGGGACAGGTCGGTATCCTGCAAGGAAGGCTATGTGGGAAGGGTGGGATGACAACACACACACAAAGTGGGTGAGCAGCAGCAGCTGGAGCAGCTGTGTCACTGCACAGCATAGAGAAACCCACACACACTTCCAGAAACTTTTGGTTTTCCACTGTACACCAAATCCCTCCTGATAACATTTAGCACAGGAATTGGCTTAGGTGCCTGAAGGTGCCTTGTCAATTAACAGTGACTAAGTAAGAACAATGAACTGTTCCTGGGGGCACTTCACATTTAACCCTTTGTCAGCTAACTAACCAGGTTCCTGCTGGAGCATCACCCCTCCCCTTTCTTGCCAAAACCAGAACACTCAGGAGGAGGGACAAGATGACAACTGAATTTTGCCTAAGAAAAGCTGTGAGGCAAGAGCTCGACTATTAAGACCTTGGCTATGCAGAGATAATTGCAAATGAGACTCCCCAGAGCAGATCCAGCATCTTCCCAGAGCAGATGTGCAGAGAGCAGGACTGTGTCCCCACCTCTGCTGGCCCTTGAACACTTCCAGGTGAGTGTCAGGGCCAAGCACATTTTCTCATCATGACTTACTGCAGCCTTCAGACACCTTTGGGGAGGTCACCTGGCTGCCATGTCTTGGGATTCAATGCACAAATCCCCTTCAAGCACTGCCTTGAACGGCCGTATCAGGAAGCCAGGAGTGCTGCTGAGCTCTGCTCATGCCACTGTGCCAGTGCCACTGTGCTTGCTTGGGACCTGCAGCCTCTCATGTTCTGAGCAAACCTTTTTTTTTTTTTCACAGAGCAGCTGCCCCTGTCTGAGCAGGGCTCAAAGACCAGGACATGCACACCTTCCCCCCATGAACACTCCTTCCTGGGTGATCACAGCAGGCACCACACTCCCAGCCCCTACCACTCATGCAGGACATACACCAAGTTAATTGAAATGCTAGTTCCCTGCTTCTGCTATTGCCCCCTTTAATAACAAAACAAATAATACATTTTAGAAGTATTAATCAGGCTAAGGAGAAAGAGACTGATGGACATGTTATGATGCAGATGAATTTCATGGCAACCAGCAATGGAAAGAAATGCTGGTTGTGAGACACAGAGCAAGCAGAGCCTGCCTTTAGCCAGCCCACTGTTCACAGCACAGCCTCAAACAGGCTCCCAGGCCAGCCCAAATGTGGGAACGTACACGAGACAGAAAAGGAAATAAACCTTACACTGCTATTCCCACGAATCCCTTCAGTGGAACTACTCCCCAGATGATTCCCAAAATAACTGCAATGATCTGCCGGAACCAGTAGATCACATCTAAAAACTCGTCCTGAGGAGACAAAGCACAAGAAAAATGTTGGCATTTATTACGTTAGTTTTTGTTATTTTTTTTTTAAAGCACCACACAATTAACAGGTGAAAATTCAGCATACTGAACACTTAGTTCCCCACTCAGAGTACAAAATATTTCACTCAGAACAGATAAAGCAGCTTGGGGCATTGTGCACCCTGGACTCCTCTGCTTCCACATGAAACACACAGCTGTGTCCTCCGATGGGCCAACAAGTCTCTAATACCCTTATTTACTAAAGGTGCAATAGTAATCCCCTGGAATAAAAGTTTAAAGAAATGTTTATGCTTTGAGAGTGTTCCACCCACGTTGGCCAAGACCCTCCTGCACCCAAGAGCTTTCAGGGCTCAGGGCAGCTCCAAAGCACAGCTGTACTCACTCATGGCACAAGAACTCCTGTGCTTCCTGAGCAGCAGGGCTGTGCTCATTCCTCTGTCCAAGGGCCCACACTTCTGTAGCTATTGCAGCCCAGCAGCAGGGCTCTCACTTTAATAAAATTCACTTCAGGTCACATCTCTTTTCCCAGCCTCCCCAGGACTAGGATTGTCCCAGCATCCCCCCAGACTCCAAAGCCTTTGTGGTCCCCCCAAAGCCTTTGTGGTCCCCCCAAAGCCTGTGGGATGTGCAGCTGTTCAGGTCCATGTGGAAGATGTGAATCCATGTCAGATACGGACATTTCTTCTGGTCACTGCACTTGTCAGGCAGCTCAGCCTTCAGTTCACCTCCCACTGGATCAAAACATCGGCACAGCTGTCCCTGCTCCCCTGCTGACTCTGAAATTCCAGCTCCATCTGCCAGAGGTGAGGGGGCAGGGACACACGAGTCTCAACAGTTCGGGGAGCCACAGGTAAGGAAAAAGTGACACAGACTGCTGTGTGACCCCCACGAAACAGAGCGTGCCACTTCCCACGCCAAAAGCAAAGGCAGCAGCAGGGAGCAGAATGCCTGGAACCCGCTGTGGGCCCGGGCATGGCAGGGCTCCAGCGGGTCACCCGCGGCAGCGCAGGAGAGGCACCGAGCAGGAGCCTGCAACACATGGCAGATGGGCACAGGGGAACTTCGGAAAGCTGTTTCTGCCGTTCCTCGAGCCATACAAGGGAAATTTTTATTTAATCCGAGAAGAGTTTTAAACCACATGCCAAACGTAACGGAGGTGTCTTACCAGGGCGTTTGCCTTGGCTCCAGGCCCAAGGAGCAAAGAGCCGGGCCCCGCGGGGGCACGGCCGGGCCATGTGCGGCCACGGGGCCCCGGGAAACACGGCTCCGCTCGGCGGGGCGGCTGCCGCACTCCACCACGAGCGTGTACCCCACAGCCGCCCCCGCCGCTCCCGGGGCCGCGGGCACGGGGCGCTGCCGAGCCCCGGCACGGCCCCGGCACGGCCCGGCCCCGGCACCGCCTCAGCGCCGGCCCGGCGGGTCCCCGCAGGGCTTCACTGCGCTCAGGGCCGGCGGCACCCTCGCGGCACGGAGCCGCTGCGCCAGGCGGGTCCCGGCCCCCCGCGCCCGCCCCTCAGGGCCCCTTCGGTCCCGCCGCCCCGGCCCCACCTTGTCGTGCCAGGCGGAGTCGCTGCGCAGCGCTTTGCCCCACACGGAGCCGCGCCCGGCCGCGCCGCCGTTGGCCACCGCGTGGTGCTGCGGGTGCGGCGGCTCGTCCCGGCGCCGCCCGCCGCTCATCCCGCTCCGCCGGGATCCTGCGCCGGGATCCGCCCGCCCAGCCCGGAACCGGCCCGGAACCGGCCCGGAACCGGCCCGGCCCGCCGCACGTGACATGGGCGGGGCCGCACCGACGGCGGCCGAGAGGGGCGGGGAGGGAAGGGAAGGGAAGGGAAGGGAAGGGAAGGGAAGGGAAGGGAAGGGAAGGGAAGGGAAGGGAAGGGAAGGGAAGGGAAGGGAAGGGAAGGGAAGGGAAGGGAAGGGAAGGGAAGGGAAGGGAAGGGAAGGGAAGGGAAGGGAAGGGAAAGGAAGGGAAGGGAAGGGAAGGGAGTCCAGTCGAGTCTCGGCCTGACGGGGCCATAACACAGCGAAAGGGCCAGACAGCAATGCCGGTGTTGCTGGGTGGGAGAGGGGACGGCCCTTCGCAGCCCTGCAGTGTCTCCGAGCCTGCAAACAGGCCGGCACAGGGGATCCCGGTGCACAGCCTGACCGTGGAGGCTCCACAGGGACGGAGGGTTGGGAGTCCGTAGGATACACACGGTCATCCAGCTTCTCACCTGGTTATTCACCTGACCTTAGAGCAGCTGAACCTATGGGGGCTGTGGATAGACTTATCACATGTGCAGCCCTAAAGATTTGACTCTTTTTTATGTTCTTGCCTTCCAGGAGCAGTGGTACTCAGGCCAGTTGCATTTCTCCTGGAAAAACATGCCGGAATTACTCCTGCATGGTGTGCGCAGGTTGTCTGTCCCCGCTGCGTTCCCCAGGCCCGCGGAGCCGTCCCGCAGGTTGGCTCAGCAGGGTTGTGTGGGTAGAGAGGGGCCTTAGGGAGAATATTCCAGGTGCTCCTGACAGCTGACTTTGGTGCTGCTGGGGCCGCTCCAGGCACTGCTGTTAGCCCTGGGTGGTGTGGGGATCCTCACCGGTGCCAGTGGGGCTGTGCCCTCCCCAGGTGCCCTGTGTGGAGCCGTTCCTGCCTCCCCTGCTGTGCACATCCCTGGCACAGCATGAGCCTCGCCGTTCCTTTTTCCCAGTAACAAACTCCAGGCCTGAGGTCCTGCATTTCTTGTTATCTCACAGTTCTGCAGACATGATGTGCTGAGCATCTCCAGAGCCTGGCTGCAGCTCTAAACGCCCCAGCAGGAGCTGCTTTGCTGCCAGCAGGACCTGGAGCCCATGGGTGCAGGCTGACCCTGTGTGGGCTGGGTGGGGTGAGCACAGAGGGAAGAGGCTGAGGAGTCCCAGAGCTCTGATCGCTTCCAGCTGGGGCCATGTTGTTTAAATACAGATTATGTGAGATACTGATGGATTTATGGAGAAGTGTCTTGTCCTGCTCCTGCAAGGGCATCAGGCCCTGATCACCTCCAGCCCCTTGGGCATTTGCCAGAAGCCAGAGGCTGGTCCAAGCCAAAGAAGCCTCATAGCATGGCCAGGAAGGGGACATGCAGTGTGGGGTCATCGCTGTGTCTTTGGCAGCTCTTTTGCCTCTGACCCCCACAGCAGGTCCAGGCCAGATGTGTCCTGGCTCCAGCCTTGCTCCCTGGACACTCCTCCAGTGCTTGGGTAGAGTGGAAACAGTGTCCCTGTCCCCACTTCACAGGGATGGAAATGCCTGCATGGTGATGAAGACACCTGGGTCAGGGAATTGAACTGAAATTCACACTCTTTAAAAAAATGGCTTGTTTTACACCATTTCCATTGCCTGATGCTGAGAGAGAGAGAAGCAAATTAAATTTGGGCTTGAAAGAGCTGGAGGGAGGCAGGAGAGGTGCCAGAGGGCACAAACAGGCCCTGGTAAGGGATGTGTGTTGGCAGACACATGGAAGCAGGGGAGAAGGATAACATGGGCAGCCCTGGGCACAGACAGGGAAGGCAGGAACGGCTGGATGGGGCTCAAAGGACAGCAGAGGTGGCCCAGCTGTAAGGCTGCAAAGCTGGAGGAACTGCCATGTGCCTGCAGCCCCTCTTTAGCAGCTCCCCTCGCAGAGGCCTGGCTGGACACTTGCCCAGTGGTGAGAAAGCAGGGCTCAGCGAGGGACAGCAGCTCCCCAGAGGGGCTGCAGGCGGGTCCTGCTCCTGCTGGGCTCCTGGGAGCACCTGGGCCCTGCTGAGGCTGGGCTTCTGTAGCACAAATAACTCTGGGACCAGCCACGGGGTGGCAGCTCAGGCTGGCTGACTCCTGACTGGTTTTTTTTGTTTTGTTTTGTTTTGCTTTGCTTTGTTTTTTTTAATCTTTCCTTATATTTTTTATTTAAAAGACAAACCTTCTGGGGCCTCCCTGTCCAGCTCATGGGCATGGTGCTTTCCCTGGCTGGCTTGTCTCCACCCTGGCATAATATCCAGCAGCATTTCCAACTCTACTCCTGCATTGTCCTGGCTTCTGAGCCCATGGCCTGTCCTTCAGAGAGGCTGCAGGCAGGACACCTGCTTCCAGCGAAGGGTCAGGAGCCTCCAGAGGGGGCAATGCCCCTGCAGATTTCATCCCAGCAGCATGGGGACATGGGTAGGATGTCCCCATGTCAGTCAGGCTCTTGGCAGAGCAGGTCACCGGTCTTCTGAGCCAGTGGGAGCAAGCTCCATGCCTTGGGCAGGGTCAGCCCAGCTGGCCAGAGGGCACAGCCACTGCTTTTATATCAGGGTTGAAACAGCTTTTTTTGCTTTTTAGCTGTTGTTTGCAGTGATGCCCTGCAGGAGAATGGCAGCTGGAGATTAATTTGTGTCACTGTTCATTTCTGTTCTTCATCTGTGCTGCTGCAAGTGCAGTGTGCTCCATGCTGTCCCCTCTGATCAGGGTCTGGTCCTCAGCCTCAATTTCTCACATCTTCACGGGCAGTGATGGAGCTCCTGGGAATGCTGAAGCTGGGCAGTCCTGCTCTGGCTGCCCGCTCAGGGTTGTGTCCCCAGAGGAGCACTTCCTCTCAGAAGTACTCCTAGCATCTCTCTCTTCCACCTTCCTGCTCCTCTGCAGGCTGAATTCTGCCCCTGGTGTCGTGGGACCCCACAAAACAGAGATAAACTTCCTCTAGGATGATGTCTGGAGGGGCATCACCCTCCGAGGAGGGATCCCACAGGACCAGGAGCTCCTCTCGGTGCCTGCAGGACTGTGATGAGGCTCAGGGTTGCTGATGGGCGTGAAATGTGAGCAAGAGCTGCTGCCCTGGAGAGGTCTCCCAGGATCAGTGTGAGTCCTGCCTTGAGTGGAGGAGCTCCCCATCCCTGTTTCTCCAGGCTCTGTATTCCTTCTTGGGAACGGGGCATTTCCCCAGCTGTTCTCTGCTCCAGGCCACTTTTTAGAGAGCCTTTGAGGGGCTGCTGACCCTTCTGGCCGCTGTTCCCTTTGCGTGGCCGCCCACGGTGCAGCCTGTGGCCCCTGTCTGGCCTCTGCACGGACCCCCAGGTGTTGGAATCTGTGGGTATTGGTGATTCCGAGATTGTAGAAAGTCTCTGTCTTTCTGCCCCGTTGCCAAAGCAGAAGCCATAATTCGTCTGTGCTGTTTTCAAGGTTGTTTATTCTGTTTATCTATAACATGTTCTGCTGCCCTGCCGCAGCTCTGTCCTGCAGGGCAGCGTGTGGGGCTCTGCCCCCAGTGGGATGTTACAAACATTATATACCAGAAACTACCTGTGCTGGATTTACAATAACGTGCCAATATCTGTCACCTACGCTGAACAGTGTGTCCCCAGCCTAAACCAATGGAAAAATGCCAACACCACAGTGAAACATGGAGGGCATGAAGAAGGAGGAAAAGGACAAGGCACACCCAATTTCCTCCATCTTGTCCCCTCTGAACCCCTAATCTAGAATCCTAAAATTTTACTTTTGCACCCGTGTCACACTTAATTATTACTCTTATCAAACACTCAGAACTTGTAATTCATCCTGTAAGATTGAAAACTCTTTTCCATGGACAGAAATCACAGACAGTGTCTCTGGGGGCTCTGTCCAGGGGGGTTCCTGACCCCTGCCAGGGTCCCAGACCTGCCAGGGCAGCCAGAGGGAAGCCCTGGATTCCCACACCCAGGGATCTCTGGTCCTGCAGCAGCTCCACCAGCAAGGTGGGAGCAGCCCGAGCAGCTCCAGGGAGCTCCGGGCGAGCCGCGGCCCCCGGCAGTGCCACCCGCAGGGTGTGCCCCACCCGTGTCACCCGGCGGGGCCGCGCAGCTTTGCCTGCGGTCCGCAGTGCCCGGTGCCCCCGGCGCTGCGCATCCCCCCGCGGGATGGGGCACGCGTGGGCCGCCGCTTTCGTCTATATAAGGGCGTCCCGGCCCCGCGGCCCCGGCCCCGCCGCATTCTTCTGCCTTGTATGGGCCGGGCCGGGCCGGGCCGGGACCCGGGGCCCGCCCGCCCGCGGAGCCGCGTCCCGCAGAGCCGCACCGGCCCCGCAGCTCCCGCACGGCCCGGCCCGCAGCTCCGGCAGCTCCCGCGGCTCCCGCGGCTCCCGCTCCGGGACAGGTGAGGCGGCGGCGCCGGGACCGCCCCGGCACGGGAACGAGCGGCCCCGGGACGGGAACGTGCGGCCCCGGGACGGGAACGAGCGGCCGCGGGACGGGAACGAGCGGCCCCGGGACGGGAACGTGCGGCCGCGGCGGGGAGAGAGGGGCGGGATGGAGCGGGAGGGATGGAGCCGAGGGGAGCAGCCCCGGAATACAGAGCCTGGAGAAACAGGGATGGGGAGCTGCTCCACTCAAGGCAGGACTCACACTGATCCTGGGACACCTCTCCAGGGCAGCAGCTCTTGCTCACATTTCACGCCCATCAGCAACCCTGAGCCTCATCACAGTCCTGCAGGCACCGTGAGGAGCTCCTGGTCCTGTGGGATCCCTCCTCGGAGGGTGATGCCCCTCCAGACATCATCCTAGAGGAAGTTTATCTCTGTTTTGTGGGGTCCCACAACACCAGGGGCAGAATTCAGCCTGCAGAGGAGCAGGAAGGTGGAAGAGAGAGATGCTAGGAGTACTTCTGAGAGAGCAGGGGGAGCTAGCCCGGCTGCCTCGGGGACAGAGGGAGGCAGCCCCGCCGCTCCGCCACCTCTGTAGTGCTGGAGCTGGTGCCGAGGTCAGCCCTGGGGACGGGTCGGGGTGGCAGGAGGATCCCCCGTGTGCCCTGCCGGGAATCCTGTACCCGGGCAGCCTCTTGCCAGGCTCAGCAGAAGTGTCCCGGCAAGGGCAGGTGGGGATGGATGCTGAGCCAAGCTGAGGGGAACTGTCTGCAGTGCCTTGGAGCTGGGACATCCTGGCCTCCCCAGGATGGCAGAGCTGCAGGAGCAGATCCTGCTGGCACTGGCTTCACCCACCTCCTGATCTCTGAGACTGTTCCAGCCTGGAAGATCTGCTTTTCCTCCAAGTCCCTTTGCTGATGACCAGAGCCAAGATCCGGATGCATGCGTGATGCTCCAGATATCTCCCCAGTGACCTGGGGGCAACTTCAGGCAATAAACTTCTTCAAAGCAGAAAAGCTTTATTTAGCTCATTTCCTTCAGCCTTAAGCACAGAGGGATGTTGTGTTTGGTTTAGTCTTTCCCATGAAAATTTGAAGTCTTCTTGGCTTCCCTCCCAGCATGCCCTTTTGGTACAAAATGTTTCGACTGTGATAAAAGCCAGGCGAGCTCTAAAACATGGATGTGTAAGAGAAGGTGGCCGGAGCTGAATTCTTTGGAGTGGAACATCCCCAAATATTAACAACCACAGCTGCTGACCAAAGATGGTTGGGTTCCTTCAATCGCTGGAATTTTTTTCCTCTTTCCCTGGCAGGCTCTGTGCGGTTGTAGGAGGAGTTTGCGGTCACCTCCCCCCTCCGAGGCGCTGCGGCCACATTCCCCTGCCGAGGTGAGCCCCTTAATTCCCCGGGAAAACAGCAAACTGCGGCCGGGACGCGTTGTGCTGACTGCCCGAGGCCATGGAGAATTGTGCCCGTGCCCATTTCCCGGCCCCCCCGGGCATCGCACGGGGCTGGGTGCTTTGCACACCGAGCATGTCTATGCCACGGCTTCTCCGGGGAGGCTGCACAACTTTGGAAGGGTTTGCGAGTGTCCCACGGTGAGCTCCTTGTCTCCTAAACTTGGTGGGAAGCAACTAGTCCAGAAAGCATCCGCTGAACTTGCAGCTGAGCCCCACAGCTGTGCGTGGACCTGGCCAGGTCCCCAGTGTCCGGTGGGAGCTGGGGGAGGGCTGGGATGAGCTCTGCCTCCCCGGGGGTCGCTGCACACTTTGCTCTGACTCTGATGCTGCCCTGGTCCTTCCTCCCTGGCATCAGTGCCGGTGGCTGCGGCTGGACGGGAGACACAGGGCTCAGGCTCTGCTGTCCTCTCACCTCCAGGCTCCCTTTCCCAGATCTCTAATAAGGGCCATAAAAGGAGCAGAATGGCAGCCGCCTGCATTCCTGCGGCGGCGAGTGGGCTGAGGACTCTTCCCGCAGCTCCCGGTGCCTCTGGCTGGCAGTGGGGCTCCCCTGGCACCAGAAATCCTCCTTGGTGAAGCTGAGAAATGCCACATCGCATGGGCTTCCAGAGCAGGGCTGTGCTGGAGGAAAGGGATGGTTTAACAACGAAAGAAGCAGGGGAGATGAGCTGCTCCTTGCTCCCCCTCCCCAGTATGGCAATCAGTGAGCAGCCCTGGGGCTGTGAGAGGTGCCTGCGGCTGGCAAAGCTTTGTGCCAGGGGCATGCACAAGGCACCTCCTCACCCCGCTGGCCCTCCTGCCACCCTGGAGCAGGGGTGGGACCTGCTGCCTGTGCGGGGATGCCAGGTAGCCACACGTGGTGGGGGGCCAGTGCTTGCCCGCCAGTGACTGTGGCTGCCTCGTGGCTTACTGGTACTTGCAACTCTCTTTGGGAAGTGGCACTGGGCAGGGGTTTGAGCACAGTCCCCCCTGAGGAGCCAATGTTTGCCCTGCAGGACCATCCCTCGGGACAGCCCAGGCTGCTGGAATCACCCTCTGCCTCCCTGACCCAAAGCATCCAGTGGAGGCACGTCCTGCCTCTCGCTGCCAGGGTCCTGTGGAGGAGCTGCTGGAGCAGGTGTCCCTGCCCAGCTGTGTCAGGGACAGCAGGGCAGTCCCTCTGCAGCCTTCTCAGCACTTCCAGAGGTGGCTCCTGCTGGAGCAGCTTCTGGGGAGCCAGCCCTGGGAAACTCTTAGCAGCGTAGATCATAGCTTCTGATCCATGTGAACGCCCCAGGGACTGGGTACAGGCTGCTGCCACCTCTGCCGGAGGAGCTGCCCTGTCCCCTGCCTGCCACTCCTCTTTTGTGCCACCAGCCTGTCCCAGCACCCTCAGCGCAGCGGTCAGCTCCCGCTGGGACTGTGAGCTGGAGCAGCACAGGGGAGCTGCAGGGGAGGGTGGCAGCAGGCAGGAGGGGAAGGATGGGGCTGGGACAGGCTGCCTGCCCTGGCAGCATTGCCATGTCCCTTTGGCTTGTCCCACCCTCCCCAGCACAGCCAGGAAGCAGCACCAGGATGGAGTTGCTTGCTTGGCTTTTACCAAGGAGGAAACACATGGCAGTTTATATTACTGATAACTGGGAGTCCTTTCCTCTTTCAAACGAAACTATTTACTAATTTATGAACTCTTTAGGTCAGCCCCATGGTCCCTTGGGTCTGGCTCAGGCGGGGAGGCACAAGCCTAGCAGATCATTTAGCCTTCACTGCAGAAGGTGGGAAATTGTTTTGGCAGGACAGTGGCAGAGGGACAAGGAAACAGGGGCAGCTGGTGACAGGGGGAGTTGGGGACCAGATCAGTGTGTGGCTGTCATGGTGTCACCCAGCACTGACCTCCTTGGCTCTGCTGCCCAGATTCCACAGTTCCTGGGCTGGAGCAGGGTTGGGATGGGGCTTTCAGCAGGGGGTGCCAGGAGCAGGACCTGTGTCCGTGTGTTTCCCTCTGGCTGAGGGGAAGCTGGAGCTTTGGTGGCTGCACCATTTGTTTGAGCTGAGTCCAGCCCAGCTTGCAGGGCATCATGGCCAGGCACTCCCTGCAATGCTCCTGGAACTGGGTTTTTGGGAGTAATGGAAAGCATGGCTACCAGGGCAGTGTGGCCATCAAGCCCTTGTGCAGAGCATGGACTGCTCCAGCTGAATCAGGTTTTGCTGCAGATCCCTGCACAGAATCCATGCACAGGAACCTTTCCCCACACTGACCCAAAAATCTCTTCCCAAGTCCCAGCCAGCCCAAGGCGGCTGTCAAACAGCAGAGATAGAATGACTGACCTGGACCTTGGGACTGAGCACCTTTCCAGGGCACATTTTGGATCAAACTGCAGATCCATGTGCTGTCAAAATTGTACTTAACCCTGCTGAAGAGCACTGTCTGTGGAGATGGTGCCAAGCTGTGCTGCTGCTGGTCACAGTCAGGGCAGGGTAAATATTTGGATAATATTAATTCATGTGGTGAGAGGAAAACTCCTGCTTATTTCTATAGTCTTCTAATAATTCTGCTAATAATTTGATGTCTTTTGAAAGCCAGCCCAGTGCCATGGGTCAGCAGCAGAGCTTTTATTTCTGGCTCTGACTCAGCCTGGTGGTGTTGTGGTGCTGCACGGAGCTTCCCACACTGCTGCCGTGGGATGTCACCCCCGTTCCATCTGGGGGGGTCACTGGTGCCATCTGGGGGGGTCACTGGTGCTCGCTGCTGCCTGGCAGGGCATGCAGAGAGGGGCTGGCCTGCTGCAAAGAGCTCTGTGGGGCTGGAGGAAGCAGCAGGCAGAGAGGGACTGCGGGATGAGGTCTTCTGCTCACCCAGTGTGGGCACAGCTGGGCTCTGCTGCTCCCCTTGGCTGGCTAGGGACAAACAGCTCTTTCCTGGTGGGCACTGGGAAGGAGGAGAGTTCAGGGGATGTGAGGTGGTTTGGTGGCTGCTGTCAGGTGCTGAGGTCAGCACAAGGGAGGGGGCTGAGGGAGCTGTGGATTCCATCCTGGAATAGGGGGCATGTGGGTGATGAGGGAGGACTCCTGGGGACATGAGGCATGTTCCCTGCAGATGAAGGGCCCTGCCTGGGCTCTGTGGGTGCTCCCACAGTGGGCTGGGAGCCTTGTCAGGATGTGGGAAGAGTGCCCAGCTCCCTCTGAGCTTGGCTGGTCACTATGGTGTGTTGGGCTGCGATTTGACACTGTCTGATGCCCTTGGAATGTCCTTCCAGCACAGCCCAGCTGCGGGACCTGGAGACCAGAGCAGGCTGAGGAGCAGGCTGGTGGTGCCCTGCTCCTGCCCCAGCCCCTACCTCTGCTACCCCTTGAGAGAGTGGTGGCAGGAGAGGAAGGAGAGGCCTGGAGAGGGGGTCTGTGGGAGGGCAGGGGAAGGCTCTCTGAAGGTTGTTTGCTCTGCTCTGGTCCATGCCAGCACCAGGGGATGTTTCCAGGTCTCCATGGTCCCCCTGGGGTGAGCACTAAAGACCCAGCTGGGAAGCAGATCCCAGAGCAGCCCAGGAAGGGTGTGCAGCCCAGCAGGGACTGTCCTGCTGCAGCTTACTGGGGTGTGTCTCCATGAGAGAGAACGTGGCTCCTGAATTACTCCATCCAGGGCACTGATGAGGAGCCCAGGTCCTGCTGCCCACCAGGCATGGGGCACACAGAGCACAGGACTGATTCTCTGCTCTTCCACCGTGGAGTCCCTTCATGATCCATTCATTTGCTATTGTCCCAGCAGCTGCTGCCCGAGCCAGACACTGGCCAGGAGGAGAGCCAGGGCTGGTGTGAGGGAGGAACGGCTGTGGCACAAACAGTGTCCCTTCCCTGGGCTGGCCTCGGGCCAGCCTACCCCACAGGACCATCCCAGCCTGTCCCCCACGGCCAGGAGTCCCCTGGGAGAAAGCTGAGCATCCTCCTCTCAGGCAGTGTCAGGGAGGAGGGTGTTCCAAACCCTGAGTGCACCCCTCAGTCTGGCAGCCCCCTGCTGGGAGCCTGAGGGGCACTGGGTGCCATCCTGAGGTGGGAGTGGGCTCTCTACTCCAGCCCTGTTCCTGTTGGGGGCCTCAGTTCCAGTTGGGCACAGCACCCCCACCTTGGAAGGACCAGATTTTCCTGCTGTCATCCTGCTCCAGTGGTGCTTGGGGTCTGCGTGGTCCCTGTGCCATTCCCCATGGGACACACACTACCCCAGCCACGTCCCCAAAGGTGGGTCTGTCCCACTGCTGCTCCCCCTTCTCCTGGCACTCATTACCTGTAACAGCAGCACCCTCCTCAGTGCCCTGCAGCCCCGGGGCTCCTGGCTCCTCTCCTGGCCCTGCAGCCCCCCAAGGCTGATGGGCTCCCCTCCCCTCTGCCCCTTCCATGGGCTCCCTGGGCAGGGCTGGGGGTCACCGGGATAGCAGCAAGAAGCCTTTGACCCCCCAGGCATGGGTGGATGGATGGATGGATGGATGGATGGATGGATGGATGGATGGATGGATGGATGGATGGATGATGGATGGATGGATGGATGATGGATGGATGGATGGATGATGGATGATGGATGGATGGATGGATGGATGGATGGATGGATGGATGGATGGATGGATGGATGATGGATGGATGGATGGATGGATGGATGGATGGATGGATGGATGATGGATGGATGGATGATGGATGGATGGATGGATGGATGATGGATGGATGGATGGATGGATGGATGGATGGATGGATGGATGGATGGATGGATGGATGGATGATGGATGGATGGATGGATGAAGGATGGGTGTGGATGGATGGATGGATGGATGGATGGATGGATGGATGGATGGATGGATGATGGATGGATGGATGAGGGATGGATGGATGGATGGAGAGATGGATGATGGATGAGGGATGGATGATGGATGGATGGATGGATGGATGGATGGATGGATGGATGGATGGATGATGGATGGATGATGGATGGATGATGGATGGATGGATGGATGGATGATGGATGGATGGATGGATGATGATGGATGATGGATGGATGGATGATGGATGGATGGATGGATGGATGATGGATGGATGGATGGATGGATGGATGGATGATGGATGGATGGATGATGGATGGATGGATGGATGGATGGATGGATGGATGGATGATGGATGGATGGATGGATGGATGGATGGATGGATGGATGGATGATGAATGGATGGATGAGGGATGGATGGATGAATGGATGGATGAAGGATGGATGATGGATGGATGGATGGATGATGGATGATGAATGGATGGATGAGGGATGGATGAGGGATGGATGAGGGATGGATGGATGGATGATGGATGATGAATGGATGGATGAGGGATGGATGAGGGATGGATGAGGGATGGATGAGGGATGGATGAAGGATGGGTGGGGATGGATGGATGGATGTACATGGGAAGCAGTGGTGTCTGAGGAATGTGCCTGGAGCAGATAACCCCTTTGTGCTCGTTGCTGGGGCTGCTTCTGTGCTGTGACAAAGAGAGCACGAGGGTGACCCCCCAAGCTGGCAGCTGGGCTGGGCCTGGAGAGCCTGTTGGAGTGAGGGGAGGTGGAGAGGCATGGCCACAGTGACTGAAGTGCCAAAACCTCCATCCCCATGGCCCCAGGACTGGCACCCAGCTGGGTGCTGGGCCAGGCGTCTCTCCTGTGCCTGGATATGCAGAGAGGACAGGCAGCGAGTGGGTCTGAGGGCTGCCTGCAGCCTGAGGGGATGGTCCTGGGGAACTGCAGTGAGCACTGCCTGCTCTGTGACTGCCCATGGAACTCATCAGAGCTCAAGTCCTGCCCATCCCCATGGCTGACCTGTGTCTGTCTCATCTCCCTGTGTTGCTCAAGTATGTGACAGCTGGGGAAGTTGAGGCACAGGGCTGGCGGTGCTGGGGCGGTGTGTCCCTGTGTATCCCTACTCTGGCCCCCTGGCTCGGCCTGTCCCCAGCCCTCCTGATGCTCCTGCCCCCAGGTACTCCCCCAGCCGCCAAGATGTCCAGCAAACGTGCCAAAGCCAAGACCACCAAGAAGCGCCCCCAGCGTGCCACCTCCAATGTCTTCGCCATGTTTGACCAGTCGCAGATCCAGGAGTTCAAGGAGGCTTTCAACATGATCGACCAGAACCGAGATGGCTTCATTGACAAGGAGGATCTGCACGACATGCTGGCTTCCCTTGGTGAGGACACCCTGCACCTGTGCCCCCGCAGGTCCCTCTGCCCCCGGCACCACCTCGTGAGCAGGGAGAGCTGCAGGGTGACCTCACCCAGCCCACACCCGGCGCTGGACACTGGCTGTGTTGGGATGCCTCAAAGCCTGGGATGGGATTTCTGTGCTCCAGCAGCTGACAGAAGGGGTGTTTGTGAGGCATCCAAGGGCAGCAGCTCTGTGTGCTGCTCACAGGTGCACTCACCAGAAGGGAAGAGACCCTCGGAGCTGGAGAAGCTCTGCCCTGGGAGCACCAGGAGTGCAGCCATGGAGTGTTTGAGTAGACTCACCCCAGAATGTCACTGGGGCTGTCCCATGTGGAACAAAGCCCTCCTGTAGCACTCAGCTGGGGTGACAGAGGCAGGTCCCCGTGCCGGTGTGATACCTGGGCAGGTTGAGACTTGCAGGTCTGTTCCCACTCCCTGCTCTGAGCCATTCCCCTTTGGTGCAGACCATGGCTCCCTCCTCCCACCCCCAGTGGTATCTCCGCTGCACTTTGGGAGATCTGTCAATTATTGACCTGGCGGCCAAACCTGTTCTGGAGGTCCTGCCTGACCACAGGAGGGATCTCCCTCCTCCCAGGGGGCCAGAGCTCTGGGAGCAGAGAGGGGCCAGCACTGGGGGCACAGACCTCAGCAGAGCAGCTGAACCATCGCCAGTGCACCCATGGTGGGAGCAGTGCTGGGGACATAGAAACACGAGGCTTGTGTGAGGACATTGCTGCCCTTCTCGTCAGAGCTGTCAGGGGGATGGGAAAAGCCATGGGTTTCATTCCAGTAACCCCCAAATCAATTACTGCACTTCCCCCAAGGCAGAGCTTGTTCCCAGGTGTAGATGAAAGCATCAGGAGAGGTGCTGAGAGGGGAGCACTGGGCACTGCAGAAACTCCCTTCCCATGTTCGTGGGGTGGGTGAACAAGAACCAGCAGATCAATTTGCAAGGGATAAAAGTCATTCCAGCTGTTTGCACAGGCTGACCCCGGGGGTGGGAACTGGGGGAGCAGGGCCCTGCATCCACGGCCTCCCTGCCTGTGTCCCGCAGGGAAGAACCCCACTGACGAGTACCTGGAGGGGATGATGAGCGAGGCACCAGGGCCCATCAACTTCACCATGTTCCTCACTATGTTCGGGGAGAAGCTGAACGGCACCGACCCTGAGGACGTGATCCGCAACGCCTTCGCCTGCTTCGACGAGGAGGCCTCAGGTGCAGCACTGCCCCTCTGCCACAGCCAGCACAGGGGCTGGGCCGCCCTCGGGGACAGTCCCCAGGCAGCTCCAGAGCGGGGTGGCTTTGGGAGAGGTGGGGAAGGTGCTGTGCTCAGCCCTCCTGGTGCCCCCTGCTAACGCTGTGCCCTGCCCTCCTTGCAGGCTTCATCCACGAGGACCACCTGCGTGAGCTGCTGACCACCATGGGGGACAGGTTCACTGATGAGGAGGTGGATGAGATGTACCGGGAGGCGCCCATCGACAAAAAGGGCAACTTCAACTACGTGGAGTTCACCCGCATCCTGAAGCATGGGGCCAAGGACAAGGACGATTAGAGCCTGCAGCCACTCGCCCCTTCTGCCCCATCCCCTGCACACCACCTGCCCCTGGGCCCCCCTTGCTGCCCCACAGCAGACTCCTCCCACAGGAAACACCTCCCAGGACCATCACCCTGCATCAGGACACGCTTGGAAGGAACACACTCCCATCACTGTGCTGCTGTGTGCCCATCCAGCCTTCCCTTCCCATCACCTCTCCCACCCACTGGCTGCCCCAGCCTTGCTGTGACCTCCCCCCAGCAGCCACTGACCCCCTCAAAGTCCCCATGCCACTGATCCTGGAGTCGGGGTGAGCATCCCCTGCTGACCTGCAGGGATTTGGGCTGGGTCCAGCCTGAGAGAGCCCCATGCAGGCCCATAGCACAGCCCATAGAGGAAAAGCCCCTCTCCCTCTCCTCCCTCACTCCCCCTTCAGGAAAGAACCCCCATTTTGTTCCTCCTGCCTGGCTGTTTTATGGCTTTAGAGCCTGAGATCTGAGGGATTTAGGAAGCTGAAGGGGTGTATAAAGCCTGCCGGGTGTGACAGATGTGTGCTGTGTGTGGCTGCCTCGTGACCCTGTGCCCCCTGTGCTGTGCCCAGGGCTTTGGGACAGTTTGGGCACTGCAGCTCCTCACCTCAGTGCCCTTGTCAGCTAGGGCCCTTTCCAGTGGGGCAGCCTGGTTTGGAAACCAAATTGCTCTCAAATGATGTAAAATCAGTTTGAGCATCATTTTCTGCCTTAGCTGGTGGGCTGAAGGTGGTTCTGCTCGGCCCCTGTGCCAGATGGGCTGAGAGACACGTGGCAAGGTGCCAGCCATGCTCCCCATGTCAGCTGGTCCAGGGTCCCAGGGGCTTGGCTGTCCTTCGGTGTCACCCTGGACGGGTCGGGGGGGCAAGAGACAGAGAGGATGAGAAATGGGGAGGAGGTTTGTCCCCTTGGTTTGGTTATTTGTCACCACCCTGACAAAGGTGTGGGAGCATGGGGTGCTCCTACCTTGATACCTTGTGAAGCTGTGGTTTTAAAATGCTGCTTGAAGCCTGCCCTGGAGGGAGGCATGAATTTCCAGCAATTCTTTATTTAAAATGGGGGGACAAACCTACAAAACCTGGTGAGGGTACAGTGCATGGCAGAGATGCTGCCAGTGCTGGGAAAGCTTGGGCAGGGTCTGAGGGAGCTACGTGGGCATTGCCGGGCTCAGAGGCATCAGAGTCTTGCCAGGCCCCAGGTGATGCTCTCTCGCCTGGGAGGTGATCCCTGAATGAAAAGCTTCTCCTTGGTCTCAGTGCTCCTATTTTGCAGGCACTACTAACACCAGGAAAAAGGAACTACATTGTCAGATGTGAAAGGGTGACCCGGGATCTCCAGGGAGTTCCCCAGGGTCAGGGCTTGTGCTCTGCAGCAGCAGTGCCAAACCAGCCCACCTCCAGCCTCATGGGTACCAAGCTTCTTCCCTAATTCACTGCTCTGCCAGGGAAAACCTACAGTTCTCCCGCAGCCAGAGAGAATTCCCTGGCCTGGAGCCTTCTGGAGGCCTGGATGCTTTATAAAACCTGCTTCACTGTGACACCCAGCAAAGTGAGCATCCGACAGACATCACTTTAGGGCAGAGGAGCTGATGCTGGAGCTGGGGACAGATCAGCTCCTGGAGCAGCTGCATCTAGGAGTGCTGCTCAGCCCCTCTGACCCCAAGGGATCATCCTCTGTGAGCAGTCCAGGTTCTCACAGTGCCAGGAATGGGATGGACCCACTGCTGCTCTGAGGTGGGAGCTGCCACAGACTCCAGCCTGGGCCTGTCAGAGGTGCTCCCTAAAGCAGCTGCCAAAACTGCTTGGTCTGAGCTGCCTCTTCACTGGCATGGCTGTGGTGGCACCGTGGGACTTTCAGCCCTGAGGCAGCAAAGCAGAACAAATTTGTTATTGGACACTGGGGTATTTATGGGAAGAGTAAATAAACTTCACTGGCACAGGTTTCCCAGAGCAGCTGTGGCTGCCCCATCCCTGGAAGTGTTCAAGGCCAGGTTAGACAGGACTTGGAGCACCCTGAGATAGGGGGAGATGTCTCTGCCCATGACAGGAGGAGGAATGAGATGGGCTTTAAGGTCCCCTCCAACCCAGACCATTCTGGGATTCGATGAATTGATGAAACTCCAAAATTATCTGGGCTCACGTGAACCTCCTGGAGTTCAACCAGGCCAAGTGCAAGGTCCTGCACCTGGGTCAGGGCAGCCCCAGCACCAGCACAGGCTGGGGCTGGGTGGGTGGGGAGCAGCCCTGGGAGAAGGACTTGGGGTGCTGGTGGTGACAAATTGGATGTGCCCTGGCCATGGGCACTGGCAGCCCAGAAAGTCAACTGCATCAGAATTCTAATTGGGCTGCATCAGAAACAGCAGAGACAGCAGATGGTCCTGATCTGACTCTTTTCAAAGGTATTAAATAGCAGCAAAATAAAGACATTCATTTCAGAAGTGTTCACTTGGGGCAGGGGGACACCAGGTTAGCTGAACCTTTAGGTCAGTCTAGAAGAGCTGTTCCAGTGCAGAAGTGTCTCCTGAGCTCGGAGGGCCCCTCCTGTGTGTCACCTGGTGCCCAAGGCCCCTGGGGCTGTCCCTGGCTCTGTCCCCTCTGCAGCCTCCCCCCGGGTGTTTATCCCCAGGGATGAGATGCCCTGAGCCTGCTCTGCTCCAGGCTGGGCAGTGCCAGCTCTCTCAGCCTCTCCTCACGGCAGAGATGCTCCAGTCCCTCCATCATCTTCATGGCCCTGAGCTGGACTCTGTCCAGTCTGTCCCTGTCTCCTGTACGGCAGCCCAGCTCTGGGCCGGGTCTGTGACAGCTCCCAGTGCAGCCCAGGACCTCCTGACCCGGAGTGTTTGCTTTTCTCAGCGTTGTGAGCTCCATCCTGGTGTCCCCACACTCCTCTTGCCGTGTCGAGATGTAGGTTAAAGGAACATCAGAGAACAAAAAGTTACAGCAGTGGCTGCTGAGAGGGTCTGTCCTGCCCTCCGGCCTCCAGGAAGGAATCAGAGCAGAGCTTCCCCGTGGGAATGGGCAGGAGGAGATGGAGGGACTGCAGTTCCCAAAACACGGGCTCCAGCTGGAGGCAGCTCCCAGGACCAGTCCTGCTGGGGAATCCCAGCCTGCAGCAGGTCCAGTGGCCCCGAGCAGGGAGCAGGAGCTGCTGCTGGAGCAGCGGCCCCAGGGGCAGGGTGGCAGCAAACAGCCAGCACAGCCAACCACAAATCCAATTTGCTGTGCTAAAAATGCAGATTGAGTATCAGAGGGTGGGCAAAGGATGGAGAGTCCAGTCTGGGAAGTGTCCATAACTGGGAGGCTGGCTGGGGATTCCAGCATCCCCCTGGGAATCCAAGCATCCCCCTGGGAATTCCAGCTTCCCCTGGGAGTTTCAGCTTCCCCTGGATTTCCAGCATCACCCTGGGGTTCCCAGAATCCCTCTGGGTTTCCAGCATTCTCCCTCAGGCTCTTGTTGGCTGATTGTCGTTCAAATTGCTGAAGTTTAACAGTATTATCATGTCAATGGGCCCGGGCAGGGCTCAGCACGGACAAGCTCTAGTGGGAAGGGCCGGGAGATGCATCTCAGCCCCTTCCCTGGCCCCTCATCTCAGAGGCTCCTTACTCCCCATCAGCCGGGAGCTCTCTGGGATGCCAGGCTGGGCTTGCCCAGGGGCTCAGGCTCCTTCCGCGCTCCTCAGGCACCCGATGGGATTTTTCCAAAGGTGCTGTCACACTACCAGTCCAGGGAGCAAAGGCAGGTAGAGGGATCCGGGGGGTGGCTCCTGGCCCAGCTCTGGGCGGCTGGTTGAGCGCAGGGACCATTTCCTGCTTGTCTCAATTCGGTAGAAGACTAAACCAGCATTTTCCAAAAGGTGGGAGCAAAAGCAGACTGCTCAGGAGGACAGGCCTGCCCGGGCACCGTGGCTGACACAGCCCGGGCACTCCGGGGGTCTCTGGGGGGGTCTGGGGCGTCACACACGCGGCTGTGGAGGGAGCAGAGCGGGCAGGATGAGCCCACCCCTAACCCTAACCCTAACCCTAACCCTAACCCTAACCCTAACCCTAACCCCACCCCTCCCGGTGATGGTCCCGGTTCACAGCGGGCAGGAGCCAGCCCGGGAGGAGGCTGGGGATGCTCCCTGCCCGGAGTGACCCTGCAGAGGGTGGGAGGTGCTGCCAGGGCTCCCCACACCCACCCGTGCTTCACCAGCCCTGCTGCCTTGGCATCAATGCAGCGATAGCAGCTTGGGGCACAGTTCAGGTCATAGAAAAATTAGAAGCAACAAAATAAATTATTTAAGGAGTTCTCCTTTTTCTTTTGCTATTTAATCCCTTATTGCACCACACATCCTGCTTTTCCCAGACCAAAAATCGACCATAAAAGGAGGGGGTTTATAACTTCTTTCAATACATGAAGGGATTCCCATATTTTGCCCTGCAAACAGCAAAGAGGGGAGGGAGGGGAGCTGCAGCACAGAGGTGGTGGAGCCTGGGACGGGGGAGCTGCCCCTGAGGCAGAGTGACATCAAGCCAGGTCTTTCTGGGGAGAGGTGGAGCACGATCCGGTGAGGTTTGGGGTGCTGTGCCCCAGCAGCACACAGGTCCCAGGGGATGCCCACGCGTGTACTTGGCCTGGCAGGGACGAATGTGGATGTGCCCAAATGGGGGGTGGAAACCTGAAAAGGACATCCCCAAGAGATGACCCCCAAGACAGGGGTGCCTCAGTGGGCAGGGCTCTGGGCTGGCTGCAGGACAGGGTTCCCATGTGGCACTTAACCCATCACAGGTGCTGGGATGTGGCACCACTGCTCAGAGCAGCTCCTCTCTCTTCTTCCCACTGATTGTGGCACCGCTCGAGGGGACCCCTTATGGACACATCTCCTCGGGCTCCACTGAGCACGTGGCAGAGAGTGACAGTGCAACCCAGCCCCACACCACACAAGGCCACAGAGCTGTGCTGGGGAAATCTCACGCTCACCATGTCCTGGACCAGCAGCACATAAACGGAGCAATTTTCATTTCCAAAACTCCAAAGGTGACCTTGGGCACTGCTGTGGTCATGGAGAGGCACAGGGAGAGCAGAAGGGCATCCAGAGACCTTGGCCAGCCTGATGGCCATGGCACAGCAAGGGCTCTACCTGGTTCCTTCTCGCTCACCACTTTTGCTCGGAACCGCCTCCCTCTGTCATGGGAGCAGTGATGTGCTGGGCTTCTGATTTCCCATCTGCTAGGGATGAAACGAAGCACTGGTGGAACTTCAAGGTGCTCTGAGGTCCCCAGGGTTGTCACCCACACCTGCCCCTGCAGCTCCTGTCCCAAGGCCTGTCCCCGTCCCCTGCCCACAGACACCGGTAACCCCTGGGGCCCAGTTATAGGATTCAGCCAGGGGGAAGAAACCTGTGCAGCGCATTGTGAGGCACCCCTGGTGGGTGTCCCTGGGGGAGGGTTCCAAAGTGGGTGTCCCGGGTGAGTGTCCCAGGGCTGGCTGTCCCCACGTGGGTGCCCATGGCCGGGCCCCCGTGCGGGTGCAGCTCGGCGGGGCCGGGCGGGTGCGGGGGCTCCCGGGCTCCCTCTGTCCCTGCCCCCTCCCGCCGGGGGCCGTGTCCGGCAGCGGGGCCGAGCCCGGGGCTGCGCCGGCGCCAGGTACCGGCCGGGCTCCGCGGGGCGGGGGGGGCTCGGCAGGGCGGGGGGGCCCCGGTGCCCGGTGACAGTCGGGGGCGGGCGGGCCGGGGCCGGGGCCGGGGGCGGGGGGCCCGGCGAGTTCCTGCCTCCTCGGGAACAAAGGGAACTCTGTCTCGGCATCTGTCACCGCCGCCCACCCAAAACTTTCCGCCGCGCCCGGCTGCCCGTCCGCCGCCGCGGGACGGCCCCGCACCGGCCCCGGCACCGAGACCCCGGCGCGGCCCATGCGAGCGCCCAGGCGGCGGCGGCGGCCCGGGGGTGAGCGCACAGATGGACCCGGGGGGCGCGGGGGGAGCGGGGCGGCCCCGCGCCTTTGTGCGGGACGGAGCGGGCCGGGCCGCGCCGGCGCTCCCGAAGTTTGCGGAGCTGCGGCCGGGCCCCTCCGCCCCCGCTGCGGCTCCGAGTTCGGCGGAGTTTGCCCGGCCGGGGACAGCTCGGGGCCGGCGGCGGAGTGCGGGGCCGCTCTCCGGCTCCTGTCTCGCCCCGCCGCCGGGGCCCCGCTGCCCCGCTTTGTGGCGGCGGCCCCGGCCCCTCGCTGCCTGTTGCGGCCGGAGGGGCGGGGGGCCCGGCCCGCAGCTCCCCGCTCCGCCGAGCCCCGGCCCGCAGCGCCGAGCCGAGCCCCGGCCCGTGACAGCCGCCCCCGTCTCCATCCCCGCCTCACAATGACCCCGCGTGGTTCCTCTCCCACTCTCCAGCTCCGGCCTCTTTCTCCTGCTGAGATTGTTTTTGTTTTTAACTTCCCCTCCTCCACCCCACCCCATGCTTTGTTTTTTTTTTCCCCCCCGTTGCGGTGCCCTCCGAACTCCGAGTGCCCCCGAGCCCCGTCCGTGCGCTGAGATCTCCGCACCCCCGGGGCTCCGTTTGGTGCCCCTGTTGTCCCGCCGGTGCCGGTCGTTTGACCCCCCCCGGGGATCTCTGCCTCGGGATTCCCCCCCAGGCGGGCCCAGAGGGGGTGAGACCCCCGTTGGAGGCGGGGGGAGGTCGGTGGGAGGCCCCTTCCCCTCCCCCGACCGGCCACCGCCTGAAGCTCCCTTTGGTTCCCCCTCCAGGCTTCAGCCAGGGGGGTCCCGCGGGCAGCTCCACCATGTCGGACAGTGACCCGGGGGACGAGGACGGCGCCACATCCCCTGACCCCTCGCAGTGCAAGAGGAAGAGAAGGGGCAACCTCCCCAAGGAGTCGGTGAAGATTCTGCGGGACTGGCTGTACGAGCACCGCTTCAACGCCTACCCCTCGGAGCAGGAGAAGCTCAGCCTCTCGGGGCAGACCAGCCTCTCCGTGCTGCAGGTAGGAACCAGCCCCTGCCCGCCGGGGACACCGCTGGGGACACTGCCACGCGGTGTGGGACAGAGAACCCCAGCGAGGATCCCAAAGATCTGGGCAGGCTGGGTTCATTCAGCACTGAAGGACGGTGAGGAGGCGAGGGAAGGGATGCTGGGGAAGGAAAGGCACCTGTGTGAAGGCAGGGTCTTTTCTGGGGAGAGCTCTGACCCCGGGACCAGCTCTGCTGGAGCCGGAAGGTGGAGGGACTGGAGTGGGGACAGGTTGAATACCCTGTCGTCAGAAAAAGCTGCACAGGTTTTGCGGGATGCTGCTTTATTCTATTCCCCTGGACACTCCCAGCAACATCACCCTGCACACAGAGCTGGGCAGAGGACACCCCTGGGGCTGGGCAGGGCCAGGAGTTGAAGATCTTTGTGGATCCCTTCCAGCTCAGGATATTCTGTGATTTTAACCAGAAGGGAGAGGCTGGACTGCACTTGGAGTCCTCTGGGCTGTTAAGTGCTGTGGCCCACCTGGTCCCACTTACACCAGCAGCATTAAGGGGAGCCCTGTCCAGGAGTCTCCCTGTCCCAATCCCAGATGTGGGCTGATGTTCTCCATGTGGCACCGTGGTGGGTGCTCGGGCAGGAGCCCTGGGCAGCAGTGGGGGTGAGCAGAGCTTGTCCTTCCTACTCTGGCGTGGTCCCTGCCTGTGTTTAGGGTGTCTGAGGGGGCCTGCCCAGCTGCTGACCCGGTGCTCCAGGCTCAGGCCTGCTGCCCTCGGCCCTGTCCCCCTCTCCCAGCCTGACAGGGTGTGAGCTGCACTCTGCTCTCTGGGGCTGGGGTGCAGTGGGGTGCAGGGCAGCAGACAAGGGCCAGTGGGTTCGGTCCTGTCCTGGAGCTTCCTCTGTACCTCTGGCTCCTCTCCCCATGGCTCAGCACAGTCCTGGCCAACTGTCCCAGCCCAGACACCAAGTGTGGGCAGGGGCTGTCTGCGTCCCCTCTTCCTGGCCAGCAAGGCAAACCTGCTCTTTAATTTTAATGTGTTTCTGTGAGTGCTGGCTGTGCCACAGAGCCGTGCCCAGCAGCTGCTCCGGGGCAGCCTGGAGCCCCTGGCTGGGCTGGAGGCTGAGAGCTGGGGGAGCAGCAGCAGGCCTGGGGCTGTGGGGACCGGGCAGGTCCTGGCCCGGGTTCCAGGACCGTGCCTGGCACACGGGAGCTGCCCCAGGGCTCGGGCGGGCTGCCAGGTGCTGCCTGTCAGTGCCCTGAGCCCCGTGGGACCGGGGAGGGTTTGGCACACGGGTGGGCTCGTGTTGAGGTGTGGCCCTGCTCTGTGCCAGCTGCTGTTTGTCCCAGGTGGCCCCACAGCCAGCGTGTGCCCCCTGTGCCCACTGCGCGTGGGGTCCCAGCCCAATGGCATTGCCCAGTGCCAGCTGAGGGCTGGGACAGAGGTTTCTGGCAGCCTGAGGGGATGCAGCAGGAATCCCTGGGGACGCTCCCTCTGCCTGCTGGGGTGGAGGAGTGGGACACCCCACGGTGTGGCTGTGGGGTTCAGCCTGTGATGCTGACCTGACCTCTCCAAAAAGCCTCTGGAATGCAGCGTTCTGCCACAGCCACTGGCCAACCTCCCCAGTTGTTCCTTTGTGCACCCCCTGCCTGCTCCAGTGGCCTGGGGAGCTGGAGCTGTGCACTGCAGCCATGGATCAGGGAGAGCAGGAAGCCCTGTGCCTTCCTTGCAGGAATTCCAGCCCTAGGAAAGTGGCACCTGCTCCCACTGAGGCTCCCTAGACAGCAGCAACTTTCCAAGCCTGTGCCCTGCTGTGGGATGGATGGGCTTTTCCTCCCTGTGGAGGAGATGCTTCTCTCACACTGCTGGGGACAGACACTGCCCAAAGGGAAAGAACGGGGTGTGCTGGTGGGAGGGAAAGGGATGGACTAAAACCCAATAAACTCTTCAGAGCCAGAGCTCTGTGACAGTGCCTGCTGTGAGAGTGGCTGTGTGTCCCCATCTCTGTGCCCCGTTCTGCAGTGGGAACTGAATGCTGGAAGGAGCATGGTGATGGGGACAGGCAGGATTTTGGGGGGGTTCTCAGCACGGAGGAGTTGGGCATTTTGTTGGGAGTCCATCTCTCTGGTTGGGGATCACGGTGGTGGACAGCCAGGATCGTGTCAAGGGGACCACAGCATCACAGGATCTTGTGATGCTATGGCTGGCAAGGGAGGGGTTTGGAACAGAAAAGGAGCAAAACTGATGTATTTGAGGGTTTTAATGCCAAATATTGTCGTAAAGAAAAAACCAACAACTGAGATCCTGCTGTGACTGAAGTTGTGGCAAGTTTTCTCTCCTTGGGGAAATATTTTCCATAGCTGCTGATTTAGGAAAGATCAGACTTCTCCCCCCCCCCCCCCCCCCCTTGATTTATTCTCTTTTAATTGTTTTCTAGGAAGAAGGCAGTTATTTAAATGCAGCATTTTATATAAAGATGCTGAAACAATCCATGGTCAAGGCTCAATAGTGGCAAAGGACTGCCAGATGTGCAGCCTCTGTGCTGTGCAGTTGTTTGGGAGAGCTTTTAGCATGAGTTGTGACCCTGCTCGTGAGCAGAGGCACAGCAAGGTGTCTCTGCTGCCCCATTCCTGGCCCTGTTAGGGGCTGAGGGGCTGCAGCTCCACTGCCTGATGATTTCTAAGGTTTTCCATCTGCGTTGCTCTCCTGCCATCCGTCTGCTCTGGCAGCTCCTATTTGCCTTGGCAGCAGTGTGGAAACAGGGCTGAGCTCCAGGATGGGTCACCTGGAGAGGGAAAATCTGTCCCCAGGCTGGGGACCTGCAGTGTGGGCTCCGAGCTGGCTCTGTGCAATGCCATGGGCTCCAGGCTGGCTCTGTGCAATGCCATGGGCTCCGAGCTGGCTCTGTGCAATGCCATGGGCTCCGAGCTGGCTCTGTGCAATGCCGTGGGCTCCAGGCTGGCTCTGTGCAATGCCCTGGGCTCCGAGCTGGCTCTGTGCAATGCCATGGGCTCCGAGCTGGCTCTGTGCAATGCCGTGGGCTCCGAGCTGGCTCTGTGCAATGCCCTGGGCTCCGAGCTGGCTCTGTGCAATGCCATGGGCTCCGAGCTGGCTCTGTGCAATGCCGTGGGCTCTGGCTGGGGAATGGCAGGAGCTGTGCTGTACCTGCCTGCAGCTGGAGGCTGTGGGGCTGCAGTGGGGGCACAGCACTGAGCCCCTCCTGCCCTGGGGGCAGCTCTGCTGAGATCCGGCAGCTCCGGGGCTCCGGGTAGGGCTGCTGCGGCTCGGCCCGGGGCTGCGGCCATTCCTGCCGGGATGGAGAGCGGCTCCCGCAGCGGGGCTGGCAGGGCCGGGGCACCGGGAGGAAGGGGCTGCCCGGGCAGGCGGTGCCGGGCAGGAAGCAGCCGGTGTTGGGTTTCCGTGGTAGTTGTGCCTCTGCGGAGCCGCACGGGAAGGAGGCGCAGGGCTGAGGGGGGACCTGTGTTGGTCCGGGGGTGTGGGAGCTGCTGCTGCTCCGAGCCGGGGCTGCAGCCCCCGGCTGACCCCGCCGGGCCGCTCTGTGTTCGCAGATCTGTAACTGGTTCATCAACGCCCGGCGGCGGCTGCTCCCCGACATGCTGCGCAAGGACGGCAAGGACCCCAACCAGTTCACCATCTCCCGCCGCGGGGCCAAGGCCGCCGATGGGGCCGTGCCGCGGGGCGCCGCCGCCGGCCCCGGGGTGCTGCTGGTGCCGCCCGCGGGCGCCTCCAAGGTGCTGTCCATGTCGGTGTGCCCGCAGGTACTGTGCCACCCGAGGCGGGCGCTGGCCGTGGTGAGCGCCCACAGCCCCGAGTGGGAGAAGCCCCCCGGGCCCGAGGCCGTGGCCAGGGCGGGCCCCGGCGGCAGCACCCTGACCCTGCTGGCGCGGGCCGAGGCGGGCAGCCCCACACCCGGACTCTTCAACACGCCGCCCCCGACGCCCCCCGAGCTCTTCGGGGACGACTTCAGCAGCTTCCAGCTGCTGGTGGAGGTGGCCCTGCAGAAGGCGGCCGAGCTGGAGCGGCAGCGGCAGGGGGGGCAGCTGCCCGCGGCTCCCCGCGCCGAGCCCCCCGGAGCCTCCAAATAGCCCCGGCCGGGCCCGCAGGGTGCCCTTCCCCGGGGGCCCGACCCTCCCGGCCGCTGCCGCACCCCCACAGCCCGTCCCAGGAGCGGCTCTGGCGTCTCTCGGCAGCCAAGGCGGCAGAGGAAGGCCGGTCCCACCCGCCATCCTCCCGTGGAGATGCCCTGGCTGCCGAGCACGGTGCCCCGCTCTGTGCCCACACCTCGGCGCTGGCAGTGCCCTGTCCCTGCCGCACGGCTGGAGCGGGCACTGGAGCTCTCCTGGAAAACCTGCTGATCATCTCTCCTGCAAACATGGGTCCAGCCAGCACCGTTCCTTCAGGGAGACAGAAAGAACCTGTTTTTTTAATGCCAGTGGAAGGACTGTGGATGAAGAGCTTTGTCTCCCAAATCTCCTTTCCCCTTGCCAACCTTCCCCCCCGGCCCCACTTTTGTTTTTGGGGTGATTTTCTGTTTCCCGGTACTGGCCAAGTGGCCTGCCTTGCCCACGGAAGGGCAAAGGACAGATGAACTGGAAACATGGCGTCTGTGGCATTTTAGCGTGGAAAAATTAGGACCCTCCTCTTCCTTTTTAGGTTGTTGTGGATGCTGCCAATAGAAATCTCTATGGTGCTGTTTAGCAAGTTTTTTTGTTGAAACATTTTCCCTTTAATTGTGATTTATTACATGATTATTACCTTTTTTTTTTTTTTTTTTTTTTTTTTAAATCTGTAAGCATTTCCACACCTTCCCTGTGCTCCCCTTGAGTTCATGCTGAATATGTGCACGCTGTGCCCGGAGTGGTGAGCACGAGGCCAAGCCCGGGCAGAGCTGAGACTGTGAATTTTGTACCCGACTTAATTTCCTTTTTTATTTTATTTCTTTTTTTCCATAAAACCTTTGGAAAGAGGCGCGGTGGGGGCACGGCCATGTGCGTCCTGCAAGTGCAGCGCGGTGCGCCCGGGAACCAGCGCGGGGCGGGCGGAGGATGGAGATGTCGCTCCGTGTCCCCTCCCCTCGCGGCGTGGCTGTGCGGCGCTGGGGACCTCTAGTGACAAACGGGGGTGGCCGAGCCCGGCGGGGTTCGGGGTTCGGGGGCAGCTCTGGCTGTCCCGGCGCTGTGCCGGGCCCTGCCCGGCCCGAGGAGCGCTGATCCCCTCGGGAATCAGCAGATAAGGCGATGATGGGCGGGTAGAGCCGCAGGACCGGGAGCTCTGCGGGGCGTGGGGAGACCACCGGAGGGGACGAGGCTGGAAGGGAAAAGCACTGATTTCAGGGACTGGTGTGTTCCCACCCCCCGTTTCCTTAGAGGGAAGGTGCTGGGGAGAGGCTGCTGCGGGAAGGGTTCTCAATAGCGGCACCCGGGCAGTGCCGGGGGGCACTGGGGTGGGTGGGTGCCCATCCTGTGCCTCTCACCCCCACCTCCATTTCTGTGTCTAGCCTTCCTTGCCCTTTGTCTCCTTTTCAGGGAAACTCCTCGGGTTTGGGACTCTCACCTTGTCACCCCCCTGCAGCTCTGTCCCTGGCCCGGGGGCAGGGAGTGCCTCCTGCTCTCTTGCCCCACTCAAACCCAAGTGGTTTCCTTCCCCCGAGCTGTGCCTGTGCCAGGGGCTGGAGCTGCTGCCCTGGGATGGACCAGAGAGTTGGGAGGGCAGGAGTTACTGGAATTAAATTTATGGAGAAATAACAAACTACTGTAAATATCTTTTTGTTTGTTTTTCTATTGTCAAATAAAAGGGTTTTTTAGTTTTGGTTGTTATTTTTAAATATGAGCTGCGTGTCAGAGTGAGCTGTGTCATTTGTGGGTGCCTCACTTGGCTCTCCACCCCCAGGAGAAACCCCTGGGCCACCCTTGAACAGCACCTGGGTGTCCCCCACTCTCCATGAGCTGCTGGGGCTTTGTGCTCAGGGTGAAAGATGTGGGATGGGGCACATTCCCATAGGGAGCGGGGGGCCAGAGCCAGGCCAGGGTTTGCCAGCCCAGCTCAGGGATCTGCACTGTGACAGGGGGTCACAGCTGGGGACTCTGCTGCCCCTCCTGTGCCCCCGGCAGCACCTGAGCTGCACAGGGGGGTCCATGTCTCGACAGGGCCTGGGGACCCCCAGGCAGCTCCAGCAGAGCCCAGCAGCTTCTGGGAGCTCAGGACATGGTGCCAAGGGACAGCACGGGGCACAGCGGGGAGGCACCGCTCTGACCTCCCCCCACACCCACCTCCATTGCCTGCCGGGGCATCAGCTGGGGCTGCTGGTGCTGGGAGGGGTTCTTCAGAGGGACCCCCAGCCCCACAGCCCCCCAGGCCCTGGGCTCTGACCCAGGCACACACAACAGCCTCATTAACGTGATACTCTCGTGCTTTCCAGAGTGGTTTGGGTTGGAAACACCGTAATGACCATTAAGGCACAGCCCCTTGCCATGGGCTGGGACACCTTCCACTGTCCCAGGCTGCTCCAAGCCATGTCCAGCCTGGCCTTGGACACTTCCAGGGGTGGGGAAGCCACAGCTTCTCTGGGCATCTGTGCCAGGGCCTCACCACCCTCACAGGGAGGAATTTCTTCCCAATATCCCAGGTATCCTTCATCTCTGATAATGCGAAGCCGTTCCCATCCCTTGTCCCAAGTCCCCCTCCAGCTCTCCTGGAGCCCCTTTAGGCACTGGACGGGGCTCTGAGCTCTCTCTGGAGCGTTCCCTTCTCCAGGCTGAGCACTCCCAGCTCTCCCAGCCTTTCCTACTGGTCCAATTCCTCTGTCCACGAGTGGGTGAGGCTCCGGGACGCTCCCGCAGCCGCTCCGCCGTGGCCGGGCCGGGCGGTGCCGGCACAGCGCGGGCAGCCGGCAGCGGTGGCCGAGCCAACCCAGCCCAGCCCAACCCAGCCCGGCCCAGCCCAGCCCGGCCCGGCCCAGCCCAGCCCATCCCAGCCCGGCCCGGCCCAGCCGCGGGGCCTTCCCGGGGCTTCCCGGGGAATGGGCCCTGCGCGGCCCGGCCGGGCCCGGGGAAGCCGCGGGAAGAGCCGGGAGCGGGTCCTGGCGCCGGAGGGCGCGGGGCTGCAGCCGAGACACGGACACGGGCAGGGACACGGACACGGACACGGACACGGACACGGACCTGGAACCGGACGGGGACATGGGACATGGACACAGGACAGGGGGCACGGGACAGGGACACGGACCCCACACACGGACACGGACAGGGACAGAGACAGGGACAGGGACAGAGACAGGGACAGGACAGGGACAGGGGCAGGGACACGGACAGGGACAGGGGCAGGGACACGGACAGGGACAGGGTTATGGACAGGGACAGGGGCAGGGACACGGACAGGGACAGGGTTAGGGACAGGGACAGGACAGGGGCAGGGACACGGACACGGACACGGACAGGGATAGGGGCAGGGACACGGACAGGGACAGGGCTAGGGACAGGGACACGGACAGGGACAGGGCAGGGGCAGGGACAGGGGCAGGGACAGGACAGGACAGGACAGGGACAGGGACAGGACAGGGACAGGGACAGGACAGGGAGACACGGGCCACCACGGCGCGCCCGAGCCCCGCCCGCCCGAGCGGAGCACGGAGCACGGAGAGGCCACGCCCATCACCGCACAAGCCCCGCCCTCCCCAGCAACCTCACGGCCATTGGCCGCAGCAGCACGTACTGGGCTGTGATTGGTTGGCGGGGCCCGGAAGCACTGTGACACGCGGCCTCACCCTTTGTAGCCACTGGGGGCGGCCATTTTGTTTCACCCGCCATCTTATGGCAGGGCGCAGCCATTTTGCTAAACGTCATGCCGCGCTGTGATTGGCAGGCAGCCATCTCGTGACACCACGTGATCTCAGGCAGCCTCGTGATTTGCTGCCCGCATTTTTTGGGCTCAGAATAAACAGGCGGCTGGAAGGAGTGAGCGTGAAATTATTGACAAAAGGGGTGCTAAATATCTGCAACAAATATTTCTAAAATATTTATATTTATAAAAGGCGTGTCTAAATAGGTATAACACATTTTTGTGCATGTGTTACACATATTTACATGTATATGCATATAGATGTAACTCTACCTCTGTATTTGTATATGTATCTTAATATATGTAGGGAAATTTAAAATATTGTATTAATTATAAAAAACTGTATGAAAACCATGTTAAAATTAATTTTTACAGTTTCATAAATTTACTTACATGTTAAAATATATGCACATATATATACAAATCCATATTATATAAGAACATCAATATCATGAGCAAGCCCAGCCCATTGCAGCAAGGATAGTTTGACCCCTCTGTGAGCAGCAGCTGGGAAGAGTAAATGATAAAGTAAATAAATTAGCTCCCGGTGCTCCCCCTTCCCTTGGTGTTCCCCTTTTCTCTGCCAGTGATCCCTAAAGCTGCATCCGCCCTGAAATCTGACAGTGCAACCCAACAAAGTCTCTGTCCCCACGGAATCTTTAGGTTTGGGAAAGGCCTCCCAGATGTGTCCCAGCTGCTGCCAAACCCTGACACGCCCACGCACCCCCAGGTGCCACCTGCACAGAAATTTCCAACACCTCCAGGGCTGGGGACTCTCCCCCACCCCGGGCAGCCCTGACCACATTTTCCATGAAGAACTTTCCCTCAATATCCAATGTCAACCTCCCCTGGAGCAACCTGAGGCTGCTTCCCCTTGTCCCCTGGGAGCAGAGCCTGACCCCCACCTCCAGCCCAAGCTTCGGGAATTCCATGGCTGGGGGCAGAGACCTTAGAGAAGTGTTCATGGACAGCCCCAGCCAGGACACAACAGGCAGCAGGCATCGTTCAGGATTTCACTTTTATTTATTTTTTGCCTTCTGGATCACCAACACTCTCACTGAAACCACTGGGATTCCACCTCCACCCCCATGACAGTAGCGCACAATCTCCCAACTTGTTCAAATGTGTGAAGAGGGGGGAAAAAAAAAAATCCCCAGCGAGATCCCTCAGAATGGGACAAAAACCTTCTGTGTGAGAGGATGGCAAAGAATTAGGGGGTGGTAGCTCTGGCTCCGAGGAGCCAGACCAGAAAGGAGACCTACAAAGGGGAAGAAAAAATGGGCTAAAAAATATTTAGCAGTCCTTCCTCTACCCAGAGAGCAGGGAGATAAGGAAAAAATAGTCATCTGCTTACACACAGGGTATATATTTTTACACACACTTGGACACACATCTAGATATAGTACATGTAAAAATATATGCTATACATCTGCCCACCCCCGCGGCGGCGTGGGCAGGATCCGTGTGTAGGAATTACTATACAGGTACTACTAAGTGTATATGTGCATATGTACACCCTCCTGTCTCCTCCTGGACACGCTGACCCCACAGCCCCCGCTGCAGCAGCTCCTCTCTCCACCAGCCAGCCAAGGACAACGGGGTGGGAACGGGAAGAGGAGGGAAACCAAAGTGATGTGGCTCATGCTCTGTGCTCCTCCAGCTCTGCTCCTGTGCCCGGAGCGGGGTCCAGCTCTTGGGATCCCCTGCGCCAGGTTTATTGCACATTTGGTTTCTGGGCTGCACTTCAACCCAACATTGCACAGCCCCGGTGTCCTCTCCCTCCAACAAGCCAAGGATAGGACCCCTTTTCCTGTCCTCCCCCACTCCAGCATCCCCATCCCAAGAACACAAAGCCCAGCAGGCTGCTGGCTGGAGAGGGCAGCAGGAGTGACACACCACAGGTGTTCTCTGCGGGCATAGGGGTGTCCGGACACGGGAACCGAAACCATGCAAAGGGTGGGAGAACAGGAGCAGGAGGAGGGAAAAATAAAGGATGAGAAGGGCAGAACAGATCTGAGGAGGAGGAAGAACACAGCATGGCAAGTGCTCAAGGTTTCGTGTTTTCTTGTCCTCTTCTTGTAAACAAGCTAATAATTCTCATGAGATAGAACAAGTAAAAAGACTGAAGTTCCAAGTCGAGGGGCTGGAGTTCCCAAGAGTCTGTCCAGTCCATTCAGCAACACCACAGCTGGGGAGAAAACGAGGGGCATTTTTCTTTTTTAAATTTTTTTTTGTTTGTATTTTTTTTTTGTTAAAATCTTCATTACTTAAAGCTGAGAGAGAAAAAAGCCAACTCAGGAGCCCTTTTCAAGGATGGCTCATTGTCTCTAGACTGAATAAATCACACTAGTTTCAAGAGAACCATTTTTTTTTTCCCCATTTAATGACTTATAAAAGCCACGGGCTGGCCATGGCTGGGCTCAGAGGCGGGTCTGGGCCTCGGGGACGTAGATCTCGATGCTGTCGGCGCTCTCGGTGGCCGAGTTCTGCCGCACGGAGGCCGCGCGCTTGGCCGCCATCAGCCGCTTCCGCGCCTCCTGCCGCTGCTTGTCCGAGTCGGAGCCTTTGTCCCGGCTCAGCTGCGATTTGGACTTGGCCGGCTTCTTTGGCACTGGAGGGGGTGGTTTCTTCTCTTCCTTCAGGGAGACAGTAAGGAAAAACACAGACCTGATATAAACGTGCGCAGCCGGGCGCTGGCGCGGCCCTGGTGGGGCCTTGTCAGAGGGACTAGAACGGTGTCGGGGAGAGGAGCTCGGCAGCCAGACACCCTTCAACATCAACTGCCCCTGTTCCCACCAGGAGCCATTTTGCATTTCACGGAATCACAGAATGTCCTGAATGGGAAGGGACCCACAACAATGGTCTGGGCTGGAAGATTATCCAGTTCCACCCCTTGCCATGGCAGGGATGCCTTCCACTAGACCCTGTCCAGCCTGGCCTTGGACATTTCCTGGGATGGGAGTCCACAGTCCAGGGGCTGATGATCCACAACCAGGATCATAGAGTCCACCCACTGCATGGACACCTGCAGGACAACCTGTGCCTGAGAGCAGTGTCCAAACGCTCCTGAAGTCCTGGCAGTCTCAGGGCCATGTCCATTCCCTGGGGAGGCTGGGCAGTACCCAGCACCCCCTGGGGAAGAGCCTTTTCCTGTTACCCAGTCTAACCCTCCTCTCCATGCAGCTTCCATGGTACAGGGTTCTTCTGGAGTGACCTGGAGTTCAGAGATTGTCTGTTCAGCTGTAGCTCAGAGCACAGCACAGGCAGCACGAAGACAACTTGATGTGGAACTGCAAAATTTTAATAAGCCACCGTGCCCTGAGCCACAGTCCTCCCTAACCTTACTGGCAGAGTCAGGACACCTCTCCTGCACTTTCCAAAGGTTCAAGTTGTTTTTCACATTACTTGGGCACAAGGGATAGTTAAATCCATCCACAGAGTACTAGGAACACTTGAGGCCCCTGCAACACTGCTCACTACTCTAAGCTCTCTCCATCCAACACCTTTTCCCCTTGCACAAAACTGTTCCCACTATTACTCAAGAGGAATGGCCTTGGTGCCTTGTGAAGCTGTGAGATTACAAGTGCAGGATGGCAAAGGCCCTTGGGAGCACTGGTTTGCAGACCAAACCAGACCTCGTGTACCCCAAATGAGTACAAGGTGCTCTGGCCACTCCCCAGTGCCCCTCACTCACCTTTCTCTCCGGTGTCTCTGCCAATTGCCAGCTATTAGCTTTGAGGTGGTACAGCTCGTCAAACTTCATGCTGATGTCTTCAATGGACAGCTGGAGGAGATCCCAAAATCCAGCCAAGTCCTGGGCTGTGGGTCTGGGATTGGCATTAGGGTTCTAGAAGGGGGAGCATTAAAAACACCATTTCAGAAAGAACATATTCAGCAGAGCAGTGTGCACAGCACCTTCACCCCTTTTATGTCTGCCTGCAACCAAACCCAGTGAGAACCCACAGGAGACACCGGTCCTGAGCATGGACACACAAAGCCATCATTTACAGCCCAAATCATTTCTGCCAAGCTCAGGAAGCAGGTCCTGACTGCATTCCTCCTTACAGCTGAGTAATCCTGAACCAGACACCCAGTGCTGGCAGTAACCCCACAGCAGGAACCTCCAAAAGCAGATGCCCGGTGTGGCAATCAGAGTGACATCACTGGTTTCTTACACAGAGACCCTCATTTCAGGGAGGGAAATAATAGAAATGGATACCCAGCTCTGATGCTTGGATGTGCAGCACTCCAAGGAGCCAAACTGAGCTTTCATGAGCAAAATTATTTTGCTACATTTCTGCCCAAAACAACCTGAAAGCATCAGTACTTCTCAGGCTGGGTTGAAAAATTTTAAGTAGCTTAGGTTTCTTCCAAGAATAGGGTTTTTCCAGTTCCCAGACAGCTGAACCACCACTGCAGACCCTGGAAAGCATGGGATCAGATCTGAGCAGCTGACAAAAAGCTCTGCTGGTGCTGCTGCTCAGCTGGGATCAGCACATTACTCCCTCCTGCTCCTCAAGTCTCTCCAAGATTATTTTACATCTAAAGGGGAATTCACCTCTGGGGAAGTTTGCAAAATCCATATTACCATAAGGCTTGAGGGGAAAATGAAACCAGAGATTCCATCAATCCCCATTAGGCCAAGTCAGCTCCGAGCAAGGGCAAACCCCTGCATTCCCTTTCAGAGATCAATTCCCAGTGACCTGGGGACAGTGTCACCAGCCACACACGCAAAGGGAGCATGTGTGGTCAAGGGCAGACTTTTCAAACTGTCCCCCCCTATCCGGCCCAGCCTCAGGGGTTGCCTCAAAAAGCCCTTCAGAAGCAGCAGGCACCTCTGTGCTAACCCAGACTTCCCCTGGCTGGTACTGCAGGCTGTGCCTGCAGTGGCTTTGTTTTCACAAACAGCCTGTTAACACCTGACCAAGTCCTTGTGGTGTTGTTGAAAGAGAGGCATCCTCTCAGAAACCAGGAAAAAGAGATCCAGACTCACCAAGTTTTGCTCACAGAGGCCGTGGAATTGCTGGAACTTCTGTGACATTAGTAACTGTGCACTGCCCACTGCACTCAGCACTTTTCCTAACACTGTGGGGGACAAAAAAAAAAAAAAAAAACGACCTGAGTTGAGCAGACTATTAATTGTAGCAAACACCTGAGTCATCAGAAAAGGAATTTCAGAGATCCTCAAGGCACCAATTGCTCTCAGGAACAAGATGTTTTGAAACTACATTTGTCTGCCATTGTTCCTTTTGGCAGGCCAAACACAGACCTAGCTGAGGACATTACAATATCCAAGCTGGCAGAGAGCTCCTCAAACTGCCCTCAGCCCCTCAGAGAAGCCACCAGCACCACCTCAGAGAGGTCTGCTGGCACCTGCTTAGAGATCCCAGCCTGCTCTCCCAACCCTGCCCAGGGGAAAGGTGACACAGGGACCACTCTCCAGCCTCCCTGTACCAGCAGGGATTAACATCCAGGACTTTATGCTGCTCTTAATGGCTTTTCCAAGCAGCCTCCAGGCATGGACCTGTTCCTCTGCTCATTAGAGAAAACACAGTCTGGGCTTTTCCCTCCCAGAGGCAGGTTCAGAACCCCACGTGCCTGCAAGCTGCATCACCAACAGCAACCACCCGAGTCCTGCCCCTGCTCTGCTGCTACCCCTGAGCCTGCTCAGGAGATCTGGCTGGACAAGCACACCCTGGGCTCTCCCACCCACCAAGGCTGTGGTTACACAATCAAGCAGCCTGCTCCTGGCACACACAACAATGCCATGCAGTTCTTGCCATCTCTTCTTGCCACAGGTCAAGCCAGGCCAGCCCTGAGGCAGGGAGATTCCCTGCCAGGCAGCACCTCAGGGAATCAGATTAGGGACTAGCTTCTGGAGACTCAGCAGTGACAGTGAGCTAAAACTGAGCCTCACCTTTGTTTCACCTTTCTCAGGCTTTAAAAACATCAAAACCAGGCTCCACAAAAAGATCCTGCCCTTTGCAGCCTCAACACCCACTCCTGTCACTCTGGGTGCACCAGAGACATCATTCCCTGCAAAAAGCCCAGGTTTTGCCAAGGCATTTCAAAATAGAGGAACAAGCCCAGATGGGACTGAACCCCATAAAATCAACTCGCTTTGTGTTCTTTGTTTCATGCTTTTGGTGTACCCAGCATGAATTCAGTGAGGCTTTCCCATGTGAAGAAACCTCTTCTTTGCTATAAAGACAGCTCATCAACTGCACTGAGCAAACAAGCTCCAAAGTTGTGTTCCTTCTGTCCCACTGCCAGCTAAGGTTTCCCCTGCCTATTTGAGAATAATTGGTAAGGCAGGGAGAGAGACCACAGCTTCCCTGAGAGCTTTTCCCATTTAACCTTTTTTAAGATTAAATCCATTTAAGCTTTTAGCCGTTTTGAATGGTCAGAAGCCACACCATGCTCTGTACATCTTTTGTGCTGCATCACACCATTATGTTGTACTCCATTTGCTACAGGAAGCTACATTACCCTTTCCAAGGAAAAAGCATTCCTTATCCCATCCTAATGCTCTGGTTCTGTGGGTTGTCAGCAATTTCACAAAACACCAGAATGCTTTGGGAGGGAAGGGACCTTAGAATTCATCTCATTCTATGGGCAGGGACACCTTTCACTAGACCAAGGTGCTCCAAGCCCTGTCCAACCTGGCCTTGGACACTTCCAGGGATGGGGCAGCCACAATTTAAGTGACCCCAATACTCAGCTCCAATTCCTTCTTGAGAGAGAAGCTGCTGGGCTGCTGCCCACACCCACCTTCCTCCGAGAGATTGTTCTCTTTGGTCTCCTGGTCCATCTGGCGGCACCAGCCCTCCAGGCGCTCGGTCTCTGCCTGCAGCAGCTTCAGGAACCAGAAGCCGTCCCGCCGGCAGGGCCCCGGCTGCGCCGGCTCGGACGGCGACGTGGAGGAGCTCTCGAGCCAGGGGTCAGGAGGAGGGAGAGAAGAAGGCTCCAGGGCTGGGTCGTTGTTTTCTCCATAGGAGAGGTTTCTCTTAATCTGTGAGGGCTTGGCTGGTTGCCTGGTGGAGGCATCAACACCAACAGAGTTGTTGTGCTGGGGGCACTCAGCGAGGCTTCTCTCAGATGCTTTACAGCTGGAGTTATTTGGCTCCTGTGTGTCAGAGTCTGTGTCCTGTTTGGAGGACATGCTGCGAGAGTGGCTGTTTCTGCAGGGATCAAAAGCCATTGTTCAATAGCAGAGCTCAGCCTGGCTGACCTTCCACACTGACAGCAAAATCCATGGCCACAGCAGAGCCTCTCCCTGCCCCTCTCACACACACAGACACATCACACACTCAGACAGAATTACAAGGTTGCCTGCTTACTGCAGCCGGCCCTTCAGATGAGAGGGCTGACGCATGACTATAATTACAGCTTGGAATTTTTAAATTTTTGAATTAATTTCAAGCTCCCATTGATTTAGCTGTTAGAGAACAAATGCTTTTTGCAGCAGGTGTGCACTATGGAGGAAGAACTCTCCGTGGGCCCCATTCAACACCACTCACTGGCACAAAGCAGGGAAGAAGGTCTAAGCATAAGTGGGGGAGGCACAATTTAAAAAGAAAGGAAACTGTACAAGTTGCGTCTCACTTACCGCCACTCGTCCTCTACCTGCACCCCGATGGACTGGAATTTGGTGACTGGTGGTGGAGGCTCCTCTTTTGCCACTGGCTGAAGGCAGTCAACCTTATTGAACAACAACAAAAAAAAAAATACAGACACAAGAACTTGTGGCTGGAATCCACGTTAGTAGACCAGAAGTGTGCACACACAGAGCATGCTGACACCACACGGGAGGGCTGGCTAAGGACAGGCACCAGGCTACTGCTCAGCTCTGCTCCCTGTGTCCTGCCAGGCTCCTGCCACCACCTGTGCCAGCAGCCTTGGGCTCTGCAGGGCTGGGGCTGCATCCCTGTGCCATCCCTGTCCCATCCCACACAGTCAGGGACCATGGCATGCAAGGGAGGACAGCAAGGTGATTGAGACTGACAGCAAAGCCTCTCTCCCAGGGATTGACACCCTCCATGGCTCTGGATAAGAGGGTTAGAAGGTTTTAGGAAAGAAATCCAGGTGACTTAGGAACCAGCTCAGAAAAGGAAAAGCAGTGGAATGCAGTCAGCCTCTTCAGTGTGTTTCTTTCCCCTCACTGCCCTTTCAGGTGTTCTGTCCCACCAGACTTGCAGAGAGTCCTTCACTGTCACCTGTACTGAGCTGGCCTTGCTGTAAAGCTGATGGAAAACTCGTTCAGCACACACAAAGCAGCTCAAAGCTCAGATCCTGCACTTGGAGTTGCCCAAGTTCCCCTGCACCTGGGACAGAACCAGGGCTCACAGCCACCTGTAACTGAGAAACCTGTCCCAGAGGGGGACACAGCCTCAGAGCATGCATTTTGCTGACTAAAACACAGATTTACACTACTCACTGGATTCTCATTTCACTGTGTTATCCACAGCTCATTTCCATTGATTGCAGCAGCCCTTCCCACATGGCCATCAAGCAGAAGGGCCCACCTCTCAGGGGAGAATTGTCCCTACAACCATGATGGATAAGGAGCAGACTGACTGGAAGCAATACAGAGTACAGGGCACAGGCAGACCAGCAGCAAAAGGCCTCTTCAGAGGGAGTCACCTGCTTAACACAGACCCTCTGCTCTAGAAAACATTTTAAATTTGTACTAAAAGAGCTTAGTCCTTTCTGGGCTGTCGAGGCAAAGTGCTGCTGTCTGGGAACACAGGCAAGGCAGTGAGTGGCCCTTGCTACTCTAAGTGAGCTCAGATGCACACCTGGTCACAGAAAAGGCACATGCCAAATGGATGGGGCAAGGACATTCCTTGGGACAAAGGAGAGCAAACTATTCCATACTTGTATTCCGATAGATGATAGCTTTCTTTTGGGGATATTCTCCACTTTAGGCTCTTCGTTAGTCAGAGTCCCTTTGTCACTTTTCAAAGTTGCATTTTTCTGAGGTAACTCTGGAGTGTCTCTGGCCGGAGTGACGACGCTGCCCCTGGTGACGCTGGGTGTCCTGGTGCTGTCCAAGCTGTCTGAGGAATTGCTGAGCCCCGACTGGCTGGTGACCTCACTCTTGTGGTCCTGGCTGTCCAGGTAGGTGTCCTGGGCTGACTCAGTGCTGCTCTGCACAGTGACAGAGATGAACGGCTTGGACGTGGTCCGAGGTGGGACAGGAGGTGGCGTCTTTTTATATGCCACTAGGCATGATGAACCTGCAGGGGTGGAGGGGGAGAACGGAGAACGCGGGAGACAGGTTGGAGGGAAAGAGATATAGTGGAAGAGAGAGAAAAAGCAGGTCAGTCACAACTTCCAAGAGGAGCCTCCCAGCAGCAGCTGGAGGCAGAGGTGCAGAACCAGCCCACAGGCAGCAGCTCACGCCGGGGACCCACACCAAAGCATAGGGGAAGCGAAGGCAGAGCCAGAGCTAGCTTGCAAAAGAAGTCAAAAGGAATACCATGATGTGTGGAAATCTGGAAATGGAGAAGAGGGATAGAAAAGCCTCCCAAGAATGCTACAGGGTTTGGCAGGTTTAAGCCTCCACAGTGGTGAAATATTCTTTGGCTAAACCCTATGTTTTTGTGTCCTAGTACAGCCAAGTGTCTCAGCTCTTTGTCCCATGAGTTGACGAGTTTCAATGTCTGGATCAGGGTGATGGTTTTTCCTATAAAAATGGAAAGAAGCCATAAAATCTGTTAGATGTTGATGGTGGGAACACATATTTGAAGCCCCTGACAAGCCCAGCTTCTGCATGCCAGAAGAAAAGACACTGTCGGGATGCAACAGCCCCAGAGTGGTGAGGCTGCTACTCCATGGCCCCAGGTCCAAGTGGCAGCAAGGCTGGAGATGTGTGCCCAGCAGACATAGAACACACATATCCCACTCACAGGGACAGAAACATGGCTAGCCACATGAACCAGGACAGCAACTACAGCCCCAACCTGTTCCTGTCTCTGGCTAGACAGGATGGAAGTCCACCAGTGCAAATACATGTAAAATGCAAGTAAAATCCATGTGGATGCTGCAGCAACCATGTTTAGGCTCTCAGTCTGCCCAGGATACAAAAGCCCCTGAGACCACAGTCCCACTCCAGCTGCTGTGCAGCCAGGACAGGCTGCACTAGGGCAGGGAATGGCCAAACACAGTGATCAGTCACCTACCTACACACACCTGACCCCCTTTCCCCTCCTACCCCTGTACTCTCGGTCCTCCCCAAGTCACTAGACTCTCTTTCTTATCCTACCTCTGGTTCCTGCCATTAAGTTCTGTGCAATCCCAAACTGCTTTTCCCCTGCACCCCACAACACACCCCAGCCCTTGTCAGCAGTCTCCTTAGTCCCAGAGATCTGCAATCACTCTCCACACCACCTGCTTCACCATTTCCAGCACAGCCAGAGCCAGTTCTGAGCATCCCTGGGAGACACATTCCCTGTGGGGCAATTACAGAGCTGCCCCAGGAGCCTTACTAACAGTATGTGGACATGCCTATGTTTACACATCCCACTATTTACCATATTAAGAGCTAAGGCTCCACTTCAAAGGAGGAACTAAAAAGGAGGAATTACAGAGGAGGAGATCTGTGTTTCCAGCAGCATTTCTGTGCCCAGAGATGCTAAGCAGCACCATAATGGTGCTGCTGGCAGAGGAGACGTGAGAGGCCTGTGCAGGGCTGCCAACCCAGCTGCCTCCAGCCTGGATCTCAGAAAGCAGAGCTTTCTAGAGCTCAGAAAGCACCAAATGCATCCCAGTTCCCTCAAGCCACTACACCAAGTCAAGCAAAAACTGAGCAGTGTCCTGATAGCAAGAGAGCAGGACCCATCACTCTCTGCCTCACAGGGGTGAGGGGTAACCACAGGCTCCCTGCCAGAGCTGCCTGATGGGGAACATCATGTCCAACAGCAATTCCTTGGCCCAGCCTCACAGCCTGACTTGCACAGCCCATCTCAAAGGAGCAGTGTAGGAGCAGCCTGAACAGAGCCATGGCAGAGGTACCCCTGGATCAGCTGTGCCTACACCCACAAAACAACAGGTTACTCCTGTTACTGCACCAGGGCTACAGCAGCCACTGGCCAGGGCAGCCAGAGCCACCCCACCTGGCAGAGGTGAAAGCATGCCATGTGTCCCTTCAGCTAAATCCCTCCTCACAGCCCCTGTTCTTCTCCAGGGACAGTGCCCAGGGTGTCCTGCTACCCACAGCCCCTGTGACACCGCCCTGCTTGGAGCTGCAGTGGCCACAGCCCTTGGTGGCTTGGCTAGCATGGCCACATGAGCCCAGCCCAGCTCCCAGCTGCAGTGGCACTGCCAGGACTGGGACTGGGGAAAGGACACTGATGGTTATTTGACACCAAACAGCCTGGCCAGGCAGAACAAGGGGAGGGCACACCAACACAGAGCTTCTGGGGCAGATCAGTGGTGTCCAGGCCAGTAAGCCAGACCTCAAGTCATTGTCCACTTACCAACAGACAGCATGAAAACTGTTTGTGCTGCTCTGGTAAAGGGGGAAACCACAGTGTCCCCTTGGCATGGTCCTGGGATCCCTAAAGGGCAGCACAGGCTTTGCTGGAAGGGAAAGACGCAGGACCAGCAAAACACACCCCTGTTCAGGTATCTGTGCTCAAAGGGCTCACCGCCTGGGCTATAAAACTAAATTGTGGGAATCCAGGGCATCCCTCTGGCTGCCCTGGCAGGTCTGGGACCCTGGCAGGGGTCAGGAACCCCCCTGTACAGAGCCCCGAGAGACACTGTCTGTGATCTCTGTCCATGGAGAGGAGTTTTCAATCTTACAGGATGAATTACAAGCTTTGAGTGTTTGATATAAGTAATAATTAGTGTGGCACGGGTGCAAAAGTAGAATTTTAGAATTCTAGATAAGAGGTTCAAAGGGGACAAGATGGAGGAAATTGGGTGTGCCTTGTCCTTTTTCTTCTTCATGCCATCCATGTTTCACTGTGGTGTTGGTATATTTCTCCTGGTTTAGGCTGGGGACACTGTTCAACGTAGGTGACAGATATTGGCACATTATTGTAAATACAGCACACATAGTTTCTGATATATAATATCTGTAACATCCCACTGAGGGCAGAGCCCCACACGCTGCCCTGCAGGACAGAGCTGCGGCAGGGCAGCAGAACATGTTAGAGATAAACAGAATAAACAACCTTGAAACCAGCACAGACGAATTATGGCTTCTTCTTTGGCAGTGGGGCTGACAGACAGAGACTTTCTACAATCTCGGGATCATTTAAATATCACAGATCCTGACATTAAGTCTAAGGCTCTAAGAAATATTGCAAATGACAAAGACAAAAGGATCAGGAGCTTTGAAGAACTGGGGATGCTTTAGTTAGTGAAATTGCCAATTAACCCCACTGAAGTCCTCTGCAAACATAAAACAGGACTTCTGACTGCCCAGCAATCTCAGAAACCATACCTTCTCAGAATGGGCTTCAAAAAACAAAGTCAGAGCAAGCCCATCCAGCAGAGTCTGTCCTTGGCCCTCAGCACAACACTGAACTAAGGGTCAGTGCTTCCTGCATCTGCAGGAGGAGAAACATCTTGAGGAAGACAAGAACATTCCAGTGTTTCCACAGGAGAAGCAGGCAGCATTCCCTCCTGCCTCTGAGGCCAATCCCACCAGTCAGGAGCATTCCAGTTGTTGACTTACCCCTCCAAAGGGCGACATCTCAGCAGGCATGATCTGCTCTCGATTTGCTGAGGTCACAGACTTTTATACTTTAAAATCAGCTTGTGCTGCAATGTAGAACTAAAATTCCTGTGGGCACTGAGGCAGGACCATCAGCTCAGTTTGCTTGGGAACATTATCCCTGCTCCAAAAAGGTGTGCAACAACAGGAGAGCATGGAAGTCATGCTTAAACTTCCACTTTTGCAGCACTAGGCTCTTCCTGCTCACAGGATCTTCTAAGGCTTAGTTCAGCAAGCAGTTGGAATTCACAGCATGCTGTGGATGATTGATTTTGGGGAGGAGGATGTTTGTTTATAGTCTTTCTCTTGTAATTATTTTTAGAAAGCAGCATGTTTCCAAATTAGCACCTTGCACCTGCCCTCAGGGTCTTGGGCAATCCCCATGGATGCAGCCCTGGGCACAGGAGCTGTTTGCAGAGCCTTATATTGGAGAGTCCTCTGGACCCTCAAAATCCAGCTGGGCAGGCTGGATCCTCTCCCTCTCCTTCCAGAGGCCTTTGCTTCTTGGAAGACTAAAAGTAGAGTCACAAGAGAATGTGAAATCCAGCCCCTGCTCCCCCTCACCAGGCTGGTACCTGCTCAGTACCTGGCAGCACCACCAGGATCACAGCCAAGGTATTTGGGGTCAGATTTAAGCACCATAATTGCCTTCAAGTGTGTCTGGCCTCAAGTGCCAGTGTTCTGCTGCTATTGCTGATTCAATACAGCCTGGCAATGTTTCCAATCATTCCAGGAACTTCAAAGTCCTACTCAGACCATCCTTATTTTTGTTAAATCACCTCAAAGGCCCCAGCCACAGTCAGCTGTGGAGGCAAGTTCCCCTGCCCTCAAACATCAGGGCTGGCTGCTATCCCTGTCCTGCCCCATGCATCCCCCTTTCCCCTCAAGAAGGACTGGAGGAACGACCTAATTTCCTCACACAGAAAGCAGAACACTCTGAAATAATCTCTCCTACAAGGAAAGCTCATTTCCCTTTCAAATAAAACAGCCATAGAATAATCTTGCAGCAAATGGCATCAGTGGCTTTATCCCCTTGGAGATCCCAGCTGCAGGGCTTTGGGCTGGCCTTTGCCACAGGCTGTCCTGGCTGGAAGGAGCTGCTCTGGGAGGCAGTTTCCAGCAGCAAAGGGAACTGGAACAGCTGCATTCCAAGTGACCTGACCTGTGATTTTCATCTCAAGGAACACTTCAAGGCTGGAGCTGTAATGAACGGTAGGATGTTTTATTTGTAGAGAGTCCAAGTGAAAATGAGCCTCAGTGACAATTCATACCGAAGACGATATGGACACATTGATTTTATGGTTCACAAGAATCACTTCAGATCTGATTTTTCTCCTTCTGCACACTGAAAGTCAAGATACCTGCAGCAGTTAGAGGCATGCTGAGAAGCCTACCCAAATTTTGTTAGTCAAAAGGAAAATCATACAAGTCAGAAATCACAGAGGCTTGGGTTGGAGGGACCTTAAAGCTCATCTTTTTCCTACCTCTGCCATGGCAGGGACACCTTCCACT